AACAAATACAGCCCCGGCACGAGCCCTTGGGTAGGAGCAGCGGGGGCCACGAGGAGGAGGAGGAGCGCTGATGATCTCTTAACGCTACAACAGGCGGCCAATTAGGACATGCCCCTGGGAGGCTGGTGGGGGTTTAATGACAGGAGCCCCCCTTAGCTCACCCCCCCCACCCCTCCCTCAGCTCACCCCCCCCCCGCCCCCCACTGGCCCCGGCGCTGGGCTTTGGATACAGTTTAAGGGGGGTGGGGGGGGGGCTCCAAGTAACTCAAGGGGGACGTGAATTCTCGAAAAATATCAATAAAGTAGCTGCATCAAATATCGCCTGAAATTCAAATCCTGATACAAATCGCGAGCCCATTGCCGCAGACTTTTCAATTAATCCGTCTCTTCCGCATGTTGCCTGCATCTCGCTCGCTTCTCCCGCCTCGGTATATCTCTACTTTGTCTGCGCGTTTATCTCATCTCACCACATCTCCATCTCTCATCCGTATCTCTGCTGTCATTTCAAGAGGAGTGTTTCCCTTTCAGACACGGGGCGAAAAGTGGCATTGCTGCTTAGAGCCCCCAATATGCCAGCACCACCCCTGTCGCTGTTGCTACCAAAGACGAAGATAGCACCAACAGACTCTGGGGGCAAGTGCTGTAAGCGAGCACCTATGAAGGCCGCAACGGCCCACGAGGGGGTGGGTGGCCAGCACCACGCCCGGCCGCCTTTGTGTCTCCGCAGTGACGATGCCTGCACACCGCGCCAGGTACTCGCTTTGAGGCCGAGTCGGCCGAGGGGGATAATCGTCAGCGGTGTTGGCCGCGTGCGGGTATCGAACTCGTCACGCCGGGGTTTGTGGGGCAGCGCGCTGGCCGCTCTGCACCACCGCTCTCCCCGCAGTCGCCACCACCAACGTCCCCCCCCCCTCCCTGCCCCGCTAAGGAGAGGGCTTTCACTGCACAGGGGCCGGCGGTGGAGTTTGTGAAGGAGCCGCAAACGCCAATGGGCGAACCTCCCTAATGAGTAACGTGGCGGTGCAGTTTTATGCTTTTTCTTTATACACGTAAAAGGGTATTTAATGCAGCCACTTTTGTTTGCGTGCCAGTAACCGCCGACGGAATTTACAAGAGGAGTTAGAAATATCTGAGGCTTGTTAAAAAAACAAGTTAAAAGCGAGCGTGCTCTCGTAATGACGCTGACGAAGCTAAAGGCGGACTTAACAAGCTCGCGCGGAGTGACACCGCGTTTTAGCTCCGTGACCTCAACAAATTGGCGCTTCCTCCGAGCGGCAGGTCGTTGGAGCGAAACGTCGGACAATCGTGCCGAAACCACGCGAGGCACGACCCGATAGCGTGCCGGAGGGTCACAAAGCACGGCCGCGAACACCGATGCAGAGCACAAATGCACAAAAAACGCTCGTAAAATGATAAGTTACGTAATGCAATAGCGTTCATGTACTCGTTAGTGCTGCGTAACAATAACGTGATTGTAAAATCGTTGTGCTGTGTGACTTGGCAGCTGAAGGGACTGCTGCTTTTGGTACAATCGCTACTGGGTCATGCGTCGTAAACTTGACCGCTCACGTCTCATCTTAAAGTCACGGGGTAATTGTTCCCTGAGGAATGACCAAAGCGTGCCAACCAACATACTGTTCACATCAAACGCCCCGAGATACACTTTCTACCTTTGTAAACATCGCTTGCTCATCGTCATCATCATCAGCCATGATTAATCCACTGCTTGATGAAGGCCTGCCAAAGTCACCGACTCCTACAATTCGTGAACATTTTTATTTTAGCTGCATAAATTACACACAGCTGTACGGTATTAAAAAAATAAAAGTTTTGCTGGCTGGCTGGCGCGCGGGCAGGCAAGTGGACCGTGGTCACGTCACTGCGCACATCTCACGAGCCATGATCCATCCACTGCTCGATGATTGCCTCCCCACGCCATGACAATCTCTCACGGATTGCGATGCCACAAATACAAATTCACTCCCGGCTGCCATTCCGTCACGAGTCTTTGACCATTGACCGTCATCCCTCCTGGCAGACGCGTCCAGCCTGAGTCCATTTACAAAATACATAAATATACATAACGAAGGAGTTTTTTGGGGTTAGATCGCATGTTGTTAAAACTGCCACCACCCGACACAACTAATTAGTACGTTTTGTCACGCAAACTAAACGTGCCAAAAAAAAAATTCTCCGATTTGTGTTCGCTGATCCACGTGTTCATCACTCCGCCTCTCAGCGTAATTCCCGGCATGCACCTCAACCGGGAATCTTTGAGCACTTTTCAAGCTATTGTTCCAAAAGCTCTGCTGTCAGCGTCCATGTCTCTGGTCCACTACGCAAAATCAAGGTATTGTGCACTGTTTGAAAACGTTCTTATTTTTCGCCCGGTGGAGGTGGCTGAGCACGCGGCCTGTAATCCAGAACAGTGGAGGCAGCGAGGGTTGGTGGGTCGTGCAGAGATGATGTTGCGAAAATCCCTTCCCATGGGCCTCGACGAGGTTCCACATAATCTGGCCCGCCCGACCTGTTCCGTATGTACGGGATCGAGCGTTGCCCCCTTGCACGCGTGGGTTTTCTCATGGTAAGGGTCTCCTCCCACGTGTGAACGCTCATTAATTGGCCAATACCACACCTTGATATAGAGAGGACCGCAGAGCTTGGGAAATGATTGACGCTGGCTCATCGCCGCGTGGCTTCCTTCCTGCCCGTCTGTGGTTGCTCCCCGCGCCTCTTGAGTCGTTCTGTCTCAGCGAGGGCGAGCGGATACTGCGCGGCACGTTACAAGCTGACGTCATCGCAAGAATAGTTACATGAATCATTATGATTGTTATTATTTAAGAACATTGGTTGTTGCTTTCCATGACAAAATTCATTTTCCAAAAGCAATCCACCCTGCTCCTGTTCGCCGCTACATTAAAAAAATATCCACTTTCAAAAGTTTTCCTCAGATATATGTTCCTCTGTTTTACATTTACGTCCCTCCAAAAATAATTGTATTTATTTACACGTTTTTGTACTTGTCTAGCAGCATTAAAAATATAATTTTATATAATTCAAATATAAATATAATGCAAACCACACAATTACACTTTGTGGGAGGGGTGGGTTAATGGTTAGCGCACTGCCCTGTCAACCCAGCCACCTGAGTTTGACTACTGGCCATGGCTAACATCAGTGGCGAGGGATATCATCACTTGTCCTGTGCACTCTCTTGTCCTTCACCAAACTGCGGTGACCAGCACGGCCAAGGATGGTTTAACAACAAACAAATCAAACCCCTCCACAACAACTCACGAGGCACGAGCAGGCCTTCCTCCAGCCGTGTGTTGACAGCCGTGTGTTGACAAACGGCTGCAGGCCATTGAGTCGGTGTCAATGACGAACGCAATGAGTTTATTTTATTCTAATTTTATTCGTGCCACTGTCGACACAATGTCCCTTGTGATTGTTGACGTCATTGCTGAAGTCGTCTCAGCGTTGAGCCCGAATCCTGCCCCGGGCAGCTACTGCCCTCTGGCGTTCGGTGCTGGAATTGCGTCGCTATTTTTGTTTTCGACGCAACGCTCAGATCTCTTCACTGCTCACAAATCCAGTTCCGGATCGACTGTGACGATCAACACCCTCCAATATCCTCCGTGGACTTGCCACTGCCTGGGTCGTCCCTGTCCTGTCGCTCAACTCCCCGCTCTCCACTCTCATCTCACTCTCTCCTCCACGCACTCTCCTACCTCTCCCCTCTCATCTCACGTCACTCCCCTCCACGCACTCTCCTACTTCTCCCCTCTCTTTTTTTCTTTTCCTGTTTTTTTTACGATCAGTGGAAACAAGAAGATGCTCGGTGTAGTCGGCACTTTGCTTCGTTCATCATTTAGTTTTTTTCATCTCACTTCACTCTCCCCCCCCCCCACACACTCTCCTACCTCTCCCCTCTCATCTCACTCCCCCCAACGCACTCTCCTACCTCTCCTCTCCCCTCTCCTCCACACACTCTCCTACCTCTCCCCTCTCATCTCACTTCACCCCCCCCACGCACTCCCCTACCTCTTACCATCGTGTACCAAAATTACATCTGAACAAAGTTCAACAAGATTATATACAACACAGCCCCTATCATCCACTTGAAGCAATAGTCGCTCTTAGAAAAAATACATTATGTGTGTACATTACAAAACTTGCATTGATACAGCTAAACGATACAGCGAAGTCCCAGATGTTCTGACTCCCAATTGCTGTGAGTCCCAGGTGCTATGAGTCCCAGCCACTCCGAGTCCCAGCCACTTCGAGTCCCAGCCACTCGGAGTCCCAGTCACTCCGAGTCCCAGCCACTCCGAGTCCCAGTCACTCCGAGTCCCAGTCACTCAGAGTCCCAGTCACTCCGAGTCCCAGCCACTCCGAGTCCCAGCCACTCCGAGTCCCAGTCACTCCGAGTCCCAGTCACTCAGAGTCCCAGTCACTCCGAGTCCCAGTCACTCCGAGTCCCAGCCACTCCGAGTCCCAGTCACTCCGAGTCCCAGTCACTCAGAGTCCCAGTCACTCCGAGTCCCAGCCACTCCGAGTCCCAGCCACTCCGAGTCCCAGTCACTCTGAGTCCCAGCCACTCCGAGTCCCAGTCACTCCGAGTCCCAGCCACTCCGAGTCCCAGCCACTCCGAGTCCCAGTCACTCCGAGTCCCAGCCACTCCGAGTCCCAGTCACTCAGAGTCCCAGTCACTCAGAGTCCCAGCCACTCCGAGTCCCAGTCACTCCGAGTCCCAGTCACTCAGAGTCCCAGCCACTCCGAGTCCCAGCCACTCCGAGTCCCAGCCACTCCGAGTCCCAGTCACTCCGAGTCCCAGCCACTCCGAGTCCCAGCCACTCCGAGTCCCAGTCACTCAGAGTCCCAGTCACTTCGAGTCCCAGTCACTCAGAGTCCCAGCCACTCCGAGTCCCAGCCACTCCGAGTCCCAGTCACTCCGAGTCCCAGCCACTCCGAGTCCCAGCCACTCCGAGTCCCAGCCACTCCGAGTCCCAGTCACTCCGAGTCCCAGTCACTCCGAGTCCCAGTCACTCCGAGTCCCAGCCACTCCGAGTCCCAGTCACTCCGAGTCCCAGCCACTCCGAGTCCCAGCCACTCCGAGTCCCAGCCACTCCGAGTCCCAGTCACTCAGAGTCCCAGTCACTCCGAGTCCCAGTCACTCCGAGTCCCAGCCACTCCGAGTCCCAGCCACTCCGAGTCCTGGGGCCCGCGTGCGCTGCTCGTCACGCCAGTTCAGGGAACAGAAAGGAGTGCACGTCCCTGACGGCGCTGGCTACGAGGCTCCTGATCGGCAGCTCCGCGGGCAGATGCTGCTCCACGGCCAGAGGGTGGAGGTAGAACCTGGAGGAACGAGGGCAAGGAGAGGCACGGGGAGAGGCAGACAGAGAGAGAGAGGAGGGAGAGAGACTTTTGACTTTTATTGCCGCCAGTAGCAACAGCACTAGAGGCGATTCCGATATGAAATACACAGTCACCGGCAAACAAACGAATGAACGCTATAAATCCAAGCGCTGTGGCGCTAAATGCGGCGCGCACAACACGAAAGAAAAGTCACGTGGTGGTGGTGGTCATCGCGCACGGTGACGAGCGAGCGAGGGGGAGAGAGAGGAGGAGGAGAGAGGGGGGATAACGGCAGTGGTGACTTCCCATTCAAGCAGCACGACCGCACGCACAAAAAAATAACAACCTCATCACAATAAATTTGGTTCTGCACTGAGTTGCTATGATATTCCATCTCTGCAAATGAGCTATCACGTGACAAACATTGCTGTCTGTGGCAGGACCGGTGGGAAAGTGATGCCCCCTACCGCATGCACCAGAGGTCAAGCGAAGAGATCTCAGAAGGAGCTCTGCGACATTCACTTCCTTTCGCCGTTCTCCAACTTGTACGTATGGTGAACTTCTTTCGCACCATACGTCGCCAACCGTGCTAATCGGTGCGCCTGAAGGGCGGCACCACTCTGCGAGGGATCCGACGAGATTTCATTTCCCGTCCGATGACCGAAACGCGGGCGGCGCGGCGCGAATTAAAAACGTGAAAATGACCAAAAGAAATCCTTTCGCGGCACCTGAACTCCTGCGCGTGGTCCCTCACGACGCGCTCCCTCCAGCGCGCACTGCGCCGCACCAGCGCCTCCAGCACGCGGAACAGCCGCAGCAGCAGCAGCGCCTGGCGCGGCGAGAGGCCCTTCCCCGGCGCCGGCACGGGCGGCCGTGTCGCCCCCCCCCGACCTGCTCCCGTCCCTCCTCCGGCGACACCGATCTCGTCTCCCTTAGGCGGTGCCCGCTTGCGCAACAGGGCCCCCATCGACCGGCGGAGCAGTGACGTCTTAGGCGGCGGCCACGCGGGGTTCGGAGTGTCCCGTCGACGGGAGAGGCCGACGACGGTGGCGGCGGCCGACGAGGACGATGGGAGCGACGGCCACGGGGGGTCAGGGGGCTCCGGGTCGACGTGAGCGCCGCTCGTGGGTGACGGCCCCGGCCCGGCCGGGTCCGCCGATTCCGGCGGCGTCGCGGCCGCGTTTGCGGGCCGCGCCAGGGCCCGCGTCGCTCGGTTCATCGCGGCCGCCACGAACGTCTCCTGGCGACGCACGCGTGCACGGGCAACAGTCGATTAGCACGGCTGGCTACGTACGGTGCGAAAGAAGTTCCTCGCCGCCACGGCTACGTGCGTGGATGTGGGGCGCGGTATCGGATTGTCACCGGTGGCTGACCCAACGCGCGAAAAAATAACACCAGATGTTCTAGACTACGGTCACGTGCAGATTGAGCTAAACTATTTATTTTATTTTACCAGGTAAGGGCCTGCTGAGCCGCATGGCTCTTTTTCAGAAGCGACCTGGCCACAATTAACAGCTGAGCGAAGTGGCCCATCGCATGGGAATTTATAGCAACCAAGATTACTGCGGAGCGAGACGACAAATTGGCAGCCACCTCTGGGCGAATCATTTGAATGAAACAAAAATTTCGGCAGAAAATAATGCCAGAGTTGAATCGATTGTTCAATTCATCACGGCCCGCGGTCGGATTTCATACGGCCCGCAGCTTCGGTCTTATAATGTGTTAGTTATGGCTCGCCAGCTCTGTCAGAATAAATACATCATAAAACTCATGGAAATTTAAGGTATTCTATACAGTTTGTTCAATATTATCTGACTGAATGAAAGGCAGAATTGCGTTTTTAGAGTTGTTCCCGTCTGCATGAGTGGCTTATATTTGGTTACATTGTCATTTGAAAAACAAAGGTAATTGTGACAATGAAAATTGTTTTATAACAGTGTGTATTTCCACGTAACTTTTGTGGTTAAAACAATGTCAAAAGGAACTATTGGCCCCCGGGCATCTTCACTTTATCAAATGTGGCCCTCTTTGCAAACAGTTTGGACACCCCTGGTTTAAGAGAATGCCTCCCCCCCCCCGGCTCCTATGTCTGGCCTGGAGGACAACGTCAGGTCGACAGATCGCAGCGCACTCAGGGGACTCCACCGTGACACTCACCGTGGCCGGCAGCTCCTCGAGCGTGGAGACGACCCAAGCGACCGTCAGAGGCCTCGCGGCGCCGGAATTCCATTCGGCCTGAGGATGAACATCGCAAAGTTAAAAATAAAAAATCTCTCACCGCGTAGCCTCAACAGACTCTCCGGGGCAAGTGCTGTTAGCGAGCACCTATTAAGGCCGGCACGGTACACGAGGAGGGGGGGGGGGTGGCCAGCACCACGCCCGACCGCCTTTGTCTCCCCAATTGCCACACCACACAGGGTACAACAGGAGCTTATACGAACGCGCGGCTATACATGCAGATATTTGTCATTGCCACACCCCCCGATTAGCACGGTTAGCTACGTATGGTGCGAAAGAAGTTCAATACACGTACACGTCTCTTGATGTGTGGAGCCGTTTAAAAATCCACTGCTGGATGAGGTGCTCCCCCTGCCTCTCGGTCACGGGGGGCTACTTGACCATATTTCACCGCGCTGGTCAGCGCGGGTTCGTCAAGGGGGAGGAGAGCCCGGGACGGGTGCTGATCTTACCCGCAACTGCCCTTGCCCACGGACAGGAATCACACTCAAGCCTGCGGGTTCACGGCGCAGTGCGCTAGCTATGGCGCCAGCGCTCCGTGACCTTCTATCCGCTGATGAATATTGAACAACTTGATGCACCGAGCAACTTTACAGAGCCCCCCCCCCCTCCTCCCCCCCCTGGGGCTTAAGGGACAGGCGGCTCAAACTCGCTCTGCGAGTGGCTGACGATGCTCCCTCTGTGGTGAAGGCGCAGCCCCGCAATTGCGCACTCACGCGACTGCTGGCGGAAAGGGCGCTCCACTACTCCTAAGAGGGAGCTCTGCAGAGCCCGTCTACAATGTCGTTTTGGCCTACTCTTCCACGCTTTTGTGCGTGTTCAGTGTGCTGCCCTTACCCCCCGCACCTCTAATTAGCACGGTTGGCTACGTGTACGGTGTGAAAGTTCAACATACGCGCGTACGTCTCGCAAGAGGTGAGAGTAGCCGCACTTTACCCAGCCGCCAGTCGAAACTTGTGGGTGGGCAGGTGCAAGGGAATGAAAGGAACTTGCACCGTCGTTTCAATTGCTGTGCCTGGAAATTGACTCAGCGACCGTCGGATTGCAAGTCCAGGGGAGTGAGAAACCGCGAGATGATGCAATATTTCTACTTAACAAGCATGAATACTTAAACGTTCTTTTTACCATAAATCGCTAAAAAAGATATACAGAACAAATCAGTGAGCAAACTAAAACTAAACTACTTTTATTTGACCAGGTAAGGCCCACTGAGCCTACACAGCTCATTTACAGAAGCGTCCTGGCCGCCACAAAAGCCAGCTCAACAAAGTGGCTTATCACGTGAAAATGTGCAGCAGCCAAACACGCTAGACGCATGTTTCTAAATGTGGAGGGAAACCCGGAGGACGCGGAGGCAATCTACTCGGCCACGGGGAGAGAGACGCGCAAACTCCAAATATACAGCCGGAGTCAGGGTTCGATCGGGATTGAACCCACGACTCCCTGTATACCAGGCGAGGTATTTAACATCTCGCCACCGCGAGTAACTAAGAGCACCCCACGATCGCAATGCATTTAGCAATCGAATGCATCGCTTGGATCGAGCAAGCTCGCAGGAACTTGGGGCGAGTCGGTGGTGGGAGGGAGATCTAAAGGCAGAAGTTGCGATCGCTCGCTTCGCTTCGGCCGATCTTACCGTGACGCCACTCACTCCGCTCAGCCGAGGGTACCACTGCGTGTGCCAAACACAGACACGCCAGTCGCCTTGATTAAAAAGGGGTCATCTCCAGTGCCGGATTAAGCTAGTACGGGGCCTGTAGCATGATGTTCTAAAGGGGCCCTAAATAAAAAAAACACCATTTTTTTACTTGCATAGTAAAGTCATTTTTTTTTCATTTGCTATACAGCCAGATAATATACGACAAATCGCTAACCTTAAACACCCAGTCGTTCATAAAAGTTGAAGGCGGTATAGTGCTACAGTAATAGAGCAAGTGCAAAATCACTGAACCGGAATTGATAGCTTGAAAGCATTTAGCGCGGGGCCCTTGAAAGTGCGGGGCCCGTAGCTACATATGTAGCTACTTTTCCTACTGGGATAATCCGACACTGATCATCTCTCAGATTTACGAACTAATCCTACGGCGGATTGGCTCGGTGCTGCCAGCTGGCTTCTGGCGGAAACAAAACGCGATTGTTGGGAACAATGTTGTTGTTTTATCATCTCACTTACATCGGGAGCCGGTATCTTTACATTTCACGTGGGGCCCCGAATTACGAACCACTGCCATTCGCTGCGTGCGAGGTGGCTTAATCGTTGCCATTGTACCAGCAGGGCCAAACGCAGATGGGGTCAGTGTGATCTCGGTCGGAATGTTTCTCTGTGTGTATATCTGTTTTGATCGTAGTCTTCAGACTCCGTCACTTCCAATGGAAAGGCGGCATTACGAGATCGACAACAGTCCAAGGTCGTCCTTAGTTACAGCACTTTTGTTGTTATTGTTGTTTGCCGGGTGGGAATGTCCCAACTAAAAAAATGAGAGCCGTGAACAAACATTGACATGAAACCCGGGCAAGAACTTACTGCGAACAGGAGTCTCAGTCGAGTAGTGATTTAATGTAGTTGTTCTCTTTTATCGCTATCGATGATTAGGGCAGTTGGCGATGTAGCCCAGTCCTGCTGCTGGTGTGAGGATGTGCACAATTCCCCCCCCCCCAGCTCAATCAATCGTGAACCTCAGTAAATCTTCTCACGTACGCAAGCTGGTAATTGCCGTGCGTGGTCTTCCACGGTGTACTCACAGTCTCCCGTAAATATGACCCAATTACAGTATCTCACACGCGCCGAAGTCATCTCGCCGTAGTCGGGCGCTGCTACGGCGTCTGGCGGGCAGCAGTCGCGGCCATCGTGACGCCGCCAGCGAATTTTTCTTCTTTTCGGAACTCCGTTAAGAAACACTTGATGAATATATTCTTTTGGTCTTTCGGTAAATTCATGTAGATAGGTTCAAAGGAAATAGCAACACAAAAAGGGGGGGGGGGGCTTTTCCTGATCACGACCGCTTGTGCTGCGATCGAAACGTCGTACTTTTGTTTTACCTATCTACGTGACTTTACCGAAAGCCCCAAAGAATATGAATTCCTGCAGTCACGAAAGCTTTTTAAGTCAAGACTTGATGAATATATTTCGTCGCTAATCTCGCGAATTCAGCGTTTGCGCCGGGGTGAGGCCGCGCTTCCGTGCGCCGCCGTGAAGGCGCCCTCCTGATTCATTATCACGCGAGCGGAGTGTGATCCGGCAAGTGAAGGGGGGGGCGTGAGGTTGGCGTGGCATCACAGGAGAGCGGGGATTCAATTTAACGACAGCTGACCGGGGGTGCGGAGGGCCGCTGAGCCATCGCGCCCTCCACAGATGGCACGCACGGCGAGCGTGTCGGTGTGAGCACTTACAGCCGCGTTCCCTGCCAATAGTCGTCGAACCATTTGAGAAAGTGCCGAATCCCACGCCGGAGACGTTTTTTTGTCCGTAGAACCCGTGGTAATAAATCACGCGGAAATCATCGTCGTCATCGTCGCCACAGCTGCATTGAGACTGCGTAAAGTTACGGCTACAGACCATGGGTCTGGAAAGGACATACGCTCTAACCAGGGATACCCACAGCAACGTTAGAACATATGTCTCCAATACTGGATCGGAGAAATATGTTGCTGGCAGCATGATAAAGAGCTCAAGCATTTGCCATTTCACATTTACCGATGACACGGTATTCGCAGCACGCAGTGAAAATAAACTAAACAATAAACGATGTTTATTTTGACCAGGTAAGGCCCACCGAGCTGCACAGTTCTTTTTAAAAAGCGACCTGGCCACAAATGATATATCTCAACGAAGCGACTTTATCACGTGGACATTTCGAGCAGCCACATACTCCAAAATGCACGTTTCTATATGTGGAGGGGAAAACCGGAGGACTTGGAGAATAATGCACGCGACCACGGGGAGAGAGAGAGAGACACGCAAACTCCATAGCCGGCATCGAATCCACGCCCCCCTGTGTACCAGGCGAGGGAGTGAACATATCGTCAACGTGGTGCCCATTGTTGTGTTGATGTTGTTGTAGTTGTTGTGATAATAAAACAAGATTGGTAATGAATGAGAAACTGCTGTAAATTTTGGGCTCAAACGCAGCGCATCTCAGTGAGAGAGCGACGACGTCGCGCACAGGAGGAGGAGGTCGCCTCCCCGCACGGCAGCCGACGATCGCGGGGCGGGGGGGGCGGGGGGGGGGCGGGGGGGGCCCAGCCGCTCGCGTTACCGTCGGCCCCTTGGCGTGTCGCACTCACAGCTTGCTGTGGGGGGGGGGGTGGGGGTGTGGGGGGGGGGGGTGGGGGGGTGGGTGGGGGGGGGGGGTGTGTGGGTGGGGGGGTGTGTGGGTGGGTGGGTGTGTGTGTGTGTGGGTGGGGGGATGTGTGGGTGGGTGTGTGGGTGGGGGGTGTGTGGGTGTGCGGGGGTGGGTGGGTGTATGGGTGGGGGATGTGTAAGTGGGTGTGTGGGGGGGGGGGTCTGTGGGGTGTGTGGGTGGGTGTGTGGGTGTGTGGGTGGGTGGGTGTGTAGGTGGGTGGGTGTGTGGGTGTGTGGGTGGGGGATGTGTAAGTGGATGTGTGGGGGGGGGGTCTGTGGGGTGTGTGGGTGGGTGTGTGGGTGTGTGGGTGGGTGGGTGTGTAGGTGTGTGGGTGGGTGTGTGGGTGGGGGATGTGTAAGTGGGTGTGTGGAGGGGGGGGTCTGTGGGGTGTGTGGGTGGGTGTGTGGGTGGGTGGGTGTGTGGGTGGCTGTGTGGGTGGGTGGGTGTGTAGGTGGGTGAGTGTGTGGGTGGGTGGGTGGGTGTGTGGGTGGGTGTGTAGGTGGGTGGGTGTGTGGGTGGGTGTGTGGGTGGGTGGGTGTGTGGGTGGGGGATGTGTAAGTGGGTGTGTGGGGGGGGGGGTCTGTGGGGTGTGTGTGGGTGGGTGGGTATGTGGGTGGGTGTGTGGGTGGGTGTGTGGGTGTGTAGGTGGGTGGGTGTGTGGGTGGGTGTGTGGGTGTGTGGGTGTGTGGGTGGGGTGTGTGGGTGGGGGGGGGTGTGTGGGTGTGTGGGTGGGATGTGTGGGTGTGCGGGGGTGGGTGGGTGTGTGGGTGGGGGGATGTGTAAGTGGGTGTGTGGGGGGGGGGGTCTGTGGGGTGTGTGGGTGGGTGTGTGGGTGGGTGGGTGGGTGTGTGGGTGTGTGGGTGGGTGGGTGTGTGGGTGGGGGATGTGTAAGTGGGTGTGTGGGGGGGGTCTGTGGGGGGAGTGGGTGGGGGGGGTGTGTGGGTGGGGGGTCGTTCATCACGGCGGGGGCTGCGCAGGAGCTGCGCGGTTTGTTTGCCGTTGCCAACCGCCGTTGCTGCGCGGGGGGGGGGGGGGCAAGTGAAATAAATAAATAACAAACTGCCACTCAAGAGAACGAGAGACGCGCGCAGGTGGCCGCGTGGCGACCGCGAGCGCCGTCGAGTGGCGTCGACGGCGCTCGCGGTTTCTGTTTGCCGAGTGCCGGACCGCACCACCACCACTGCCCCCACCACCCCCACCACCACCACCCCCACCACCACAACCACCCCCGCTACCACCCCCACCACCACCACCACCCCCACCACCACGACCACCGCCCCCACCACCACCACAACCACCCCCACCAACACCCCCGCTACCACCCCCACCACCACCACCACAACCACCCCTGCCACCACCACCGCCCCCACCACCACCCCCACCACCACGACCCCCTACCACCACCACGACCCCCACCACCACTGCACCCACCACCACCCCCACCACCACCACCACCCACACCACCACCACCCCCACCACCATCACCCCCACCACCCCCACCACCACCACCCACACCACCACCACCCCCACCACCCCCACCACCATCACCCCCACCACCCCCACCACCACCACCCCCACCACCATCACCCCCACCACCCCCACCACCACCACCACCACACCACCACCACCACCCCCACCACCCCCACCACCACCACCCCCACCACCACCACCACCCACACCACCACCACCCCCACCACCATCACCCCCACCACCCCCACCACCACCACCCACACCACCACCACCCCCACCACCCCCACCACCACCACCCCCTCCACCACCACCCCCACTTACTCAGAGACATCCTGTTCCGCGATCAATATAGCGACGTGCTTCGCTCTCGCTCGTCAACCGCAAGCGAGCGGCCACCCCGCCCCCCTGTTTGGTCGATCCACTGCTGGATGAGAGCCCCCCACGCCGTTGCGGGACGTCGGGGGGAGGGGGGGTCGCAGTGCGGCTCGGAACATATTCACACAACCAAAAAATGAAAGTGAGAAATCGCGACTGATACCCTGTGATCATGTGAGGTCGGCAACCTGAAGAGTCCCACACACTAATGCACGTCATCATGCGATGGTTATTTATGAAAAATGAAGTATTCTAATAATATTTTGATTTAAAGCTTTCGTCACTGCAGGGATTCGCATTCTTGGTGCTTTCGGTAAAGTCACGTAGAAGGGAAATAATAAAATAATACAAATTAAGCAATAAAACAATACAATTCTCACGACGTTTCTATTGCAATCCGATGATTGATTGTGTTGCAATCGAAAAGTCGTGAGAATTTAATAGTTAGATTTTTATTATTTTATTATTTCCCTTCTACGTGACTTTACCGAAAGAACCAAGAATATTCTAATAATAATCATAATAAAAATGAATGAGATTATGCAGACTGCACATTCACGTGAGACTGGACACAATGCCTAGCGGCGCATTTCCCCACTCCACTTCACTCAGCAGGCCCCGATGCTGGTTACGATCGCCGGCCACAATTGCCCCAAAACTGTCCTCACCAAACTCAACAATTGTATTTGCCGGGGCAAAGGCCCAGCGAAAGACTCAGGCTGAACGTGAAAAGCTTATCGTCTTCTCTGCCACATCATCATCATCGTCTTCGGCCATGGTCGGTCCACTGCTCGATGGATGACCTCACGCTTAATCGATTCCCCGATCGCGCCGTCGTTTGCGAGCTCAGGGTCCTCACCTGCCGGGCCGCCACCACCACCTCGTAGAGCAGCGCCGTGGCAGCCTCCGTGTAAGCCGCCACGAGTCTCCGCTCCTGCTCACCACGATGGACACACTTCGTCATGTGTCGCACGCGGCCCGGTGTGTGTGTGTGCGTGTGTGTGTGCGTGTGTGTGTGCGCGTGTGTGCGGTCAGTCGACCCGTGGCACCTGGGTCTGCCCCGTGACCTCCTGCCAACGGGCGTTGGACACTTCACGTGGCCTCAAGGTGCACATGGCCTGGCACAAGCGTCGTGGTGACGTCACCACCACTTAGTGGCGAATGGCGGTTGTTGTTGTTGTGTGTGCGTGCGTGTGTGTGTGTGCGTGTGTGTGTGCGTGTGTGTGTGCGTGTTCCAGCGGTGTCAAGATCGGCCTCAGTGGAGGAGGCTCGTGAAGGACGCTACTGGGCAGTTGGAGGCAGTCGCCCTCCAACAACAACGGAGGGCGGAGGAGCGACGCTCACAACAACGAGCGGAGCGCCGGGTGACTAAAGCACAGCAAGTTGGCACAGTAGGGGGCACAGGTGGTGCATCAGCCAGTCATCTCGGTCATCTCGGTCAGTCGACCAGTGGCACCTGGGTCTGCCCCGTGACCTCCTGCCAGCGGGCTTTCGACACTTCACGTGGCCTCAAGGTGCACTTGGCCTGGCACAAGCATCGTGGTGACGTCACCGCCACTTAGTGGCGAATGGCGGTTGTTGTGTGCGTGTTCTTGGCACGGTAGGAGGCACAGTTGGTGGTGCATCGGCCAGCAGTCATCTCAGTCAGTCGACCCTTGGCACCTGCTGGGTCTGCCCCGTGACCTCCTGCCGGCGGGCGTTCGACACTTCACGTGGCCTTAACGTGCACCTAGCCTGGCACAAGCGCCGTGGTGACGTCCCCGCCACTTAGTGGCGAGTGGCGGTTCTTGTTGTCGCATGCCGTGGTGGAGCGGTGAGCGCGCCGCGCCACGATCCCGCTCACAGCCACCAACACCAGTGACGATAATGATCTGAACCGGTCCTGGGCCTCCCCTAGATCGACTCGGCCTCAAATGAGTACCTGGTGCGGTGTGAACATCCCCACTGAGGAGACTACCGGGTGTGATGTTGGCCACTCACCCCCTCGTCTACCGTTCCGGCCCTCATAGGTGCTCGCTAACAGCACTTGCCCCAACAGTCTGTTGAAGCTATATGGGGGAATCTTTGTCTTTGTTCCTGCATGCACTGTGCAGTGTGCAGTGCGCGTGCAGTGCGCGTGCATCGCCATCACACAAGCTTCAGCAGTGAACAAAAAGCCAACGTGACTTTTCTGCTCAAACGAGCATTTGCGACGCGTTGGGTGCACACCTCGTGTTTACATCTCTGTGAGCTCCACGGCGGAGGCGAGCTCACGAGCTCACCCGTAGGACAGCCGCCGCTGACTTTCTCCGCAGTGGCTACCGATTTTTATCGACGTCCCGGTGAGCGGTCGGCCGAGACAACCCCCCCCCCCCCCCCCCCCCCAGGATTAGAGCTCACAGCCTCCCGACTGCGAGTCGCTCCACCCAGCAGTGGATAGACCACGGCCGGTGGTGGGCTGAGGTCACGTGTTAAATGGAGCCCCCTTAACGCGGCGTGCCAGATGACGGAGCGGCGCGGTCGCGGCTCTCACTTGAAGGCAGCGCGGCGGTGACGGTAGCGTCGACGGTAGCCGCGGTCCTTCCCCATCCGTCGGGGTCAACGGGGTCGTGAGGTCAGAGGTCAACACCGCCAGCAGATCCGACAGCGCCTGGCCGCTGCACGGTTCGGCACGGAGCTCTCGTGAACAACACGGCCGCCCTGGCAAATCGTAGCCGGCCTCGCGCTCCGGGTAGGGGGGGGGGGTAGCGACGTGCGGTGTAACAACAATAGGATGGATGTGGTTTGGGTACGTGTGTGCGTGTCTGAGTGTGAGTGTTTACGCGGGGGGAGCGGTCGTGCGCGGGTTAGCCTCGACTCTGCCGCAAACCCTGCGAGCCGTGTTCAACTCCAGCCCGCAGCTGTCGTCAGGGGCGAGCGGCAACGCCACGTGTGCGTCGAACTTCTTTCGCACCGCACGTGGCCAACCGTGCTCGTCGGGGGGGTAGTGGGGGGGTAGTGAGGGTAGTAGGGGGGTAGTGAGGGTAGTAGGGGGGTAGTGTGGGGTAGTGGAGGGTAGGGGGGTAGTGGGGGATAGTGGGGGTAGTGGGGGGTAGTGGAGGGTAGTGAGGGGTAGTGGAGGGTAGGGGGGTAGTGGGGGATAGTGGGGGTAGTGGGGGGTAGTGGGGGGTAGGGGGGTAGTGGGGGGTAGTGGAGGGTAGTGGGGGGTAGTGGGGGGTCACCTATCGGCGAGCAGGGTGGATGTGCGCCAGGGCACCGTCTCCGTCTCCCTGAACATGGCGGCGAGCGTCTTGAGCACCACGACGCTCAGACTGTGCGGGAGGAGACCACGTGATGAGCACCGCACGCTCGACGCTGCCAGAGGCGACAGCAGAGACAAACTCCAACGGCAGGACTTGCCGTGCAGCCAAAGCCTGTGTATGTATGTGTGCTGAACTTCTTTCGCACCGTACGTAGCCAACCGTGCTAATCGGAGGTGCGGGGGAAGGACAACAAACTGAACGCAAAAAGCAGTTCTCATTAAATTAGTTTGCCAAGCGAGATGAATTAAAAGTGCGTAGCTCCAGTGGCTTGCTAATATCGGACGGAAGAGCGTTCCAGACGGCCGCAGAAGCGCATTTGAAAGTGCGCGATGCAGTTGTCGATGGCCAGCCCGAAAAACATACCGATACAACATTTTCTCAGTCGTGAGTCGGGAAGCAGCGTGTACGATGCACGTGTGGTCCCACGCGCGGGTCACACGCGTGGGGTCACGTGGGGTCATGCTCGCGGGGTCATGCGGCGATTGTGGTCAAAGCGAGGTACCTGATGTGGTCGGCGCGGAAAGCGCAGGGCGAGGAGCGAGCGGCGATCACGAGACGCTGCACGGTGGACGCCAGGAAGGGGAAGAGGCTCTCAGACTGCGTGGCACGCGCAACACCACGTGCGGGAAAACACGTGAGCAACACGTAGCGAACACACAACCGACACGTAATGAACACACAGCGGACAGCATGAGCAATGCAGACGTAACCGGCGTATGGCAATGACAGGATCAGCAGGAGCTGGGTTATGCACTTATGTAAGTAATCGGTTACTCTACCGATTATCGGTTTGATTACTGGACTAGAGACAGACTCGGACTAAATAGCGGCCCAGGCTTTTGTAAATACACCGGGCCAAATTCGGGCTTTGGACTAAATGGCTAGATTTGCGATGTGACAGCGTGCCTCGCGTGATTTTTGCCGCGCGATCTCATTGGCCCATTTGGGCTGGGTCCAAAAAACAAACGTTTGGGGGTTCCGAACATGGAGACTTAATGCCAACCGAGAGCGTAAACAAGCAATGAAGCGTGCACATTAGAGGTAATAAAACATTAAAATAACAAAAAATTCCTCTAATGACATTTGCAATTTCCGTACACCGACCGGCCCACCGGGGCCATTTGCCCCATGGACTGCTACTGTCCAACGGCCACTCCAGGCCTGCCCGTGGGCCTCCCCCCCCGCTCCCACCCGGGGCGGTGCCGCACCCGCCAGAAGAGCGCCTTGACGGTGAAGCAGCGGTGAGCGCCGAGGCACAGAGCCCGCAGGCCGGCAGCCGTCTCCTCCGGGGACGCCTCCTCGTGCCGCAGCGCCGCGGAGAGCCGCCCGAACAGCGCCCCTGCCTCCTCGGCGCTGCCCCACAGACAACGCAGAGGAAGCTCGATTTAAAGCTTTCGTGACTGCAGGGATTCATCTTCTTGGTTCTTTCGGCAAAGTCACGTAGAAGGGAAGTAATAAAATAATAAAAATAAAACATAATAAAACAATTCTCACGACGTTTCGGCCACAACGCAAGCAGCCGTCCTCAGGTGAAGAAACAGGTCTGTCGAGAAGACAGCGTCTGAATGACACGCCCCAGGCTTGGAGCGTCTATTTAAGCTAGGTTGGAGCGGGAAGGTGCGCCTTAACAAAAGAAATTGCATATCAATAGGAATTTAGCATATTTATGGGAAATGCAGATATGGGATTAGTACTACTTGTGAAGTGCGTAGGAGGTGAGAAGGGTGTTTAAAGTCAGAGGGTTCGATTCTGACCCCTTGACTTCTGCTGCATCTTTGGAGTTTGCGTTGTTTTTCTCGCCGTGGTCGCGTGGATTTTTCTCCGGGTTTTCCCTCCGCAATTTTTTTAATCAACACACATTTAGAGCATTTGGCTGCTACAAATGTCCACGTGATGACAAGCCACTTTGTTGAGCTATTAATTTGTGGTTAGGTCGTTTCTGGAACAGAGCTACGTAGCTCAGTGGGCCTTACCTGTTAAAATACACAATTGTTTAGTTTGAGTTCACTGTGCATCACTAATTGTATTCACAAGGTAAAGACCGCTGAGCTGTGAGCTCTTTTTCAGAGGCAACCTGACCCCACAAGTGATAATAGCTCATCGAAGTGGCTTATAGCAGCAGCGTCAGCATCATGGTCGTCATAGGTGAGAGTTCATACTCACAGCCGTATCATCTAAAGGTGTCTTTTATATCTTCATGCGGAGGGGCAAAACCACGGGGGAGAGAGAATACGCAGACTCCAAATATAAACAGGCGTCGTCAGGGTCAGGGATCGTGTGTCGGGTTGACGGAGCGCGAGAGAGAGACACCTACCTCCTGCACGTGCTTTGCTCAAGCAGCCGAGCTGAGAATTTGACATCGAACTCGGGTCTGAACTGCAGAGTAGCTCTCTGCGAAGTGAAAACGAGGGGAGGAAAAAGAAACCCGACAAAACGTGACACAATGTGAACCACAGAAAAACACCCCACCCCCCCAAACTACGTGGAAATGTCCAAGCACGTCAGAGACAGTCAATGCGGTGGTGACATTCACCCTCCAGGCAAGAGCGCAAGACTAAGCCAAGGGAAGGCGCCCGAGAGAACGTTACACCGCGGAGATGGAGCGACGGAATCTGCGGCCGTGCGGGAACCCAGAGATGGATCAATAGCGTGAGAGAGGCGATGGCTTTGGGGAGGCCTTCATCCAGCAGTGGATAGGACATGGCTAACATTAAGGGCCGACTGTCCTTGAGGAACAAAAATGTCCGTGTGCAGCGAAATAGTCTTCAATACCAAGTCCATTTGTGTTGCAGTTGTCTTAGGGGCCGTCCATAAATGACGTCACGCGATTTTTGGACGATTTTTGACCCCCCCCCCCCTCGTCACACGGCGTCACAAAAAGTCAGACCCCCCCTAAAATATGACGTCACAAAGCTCTGCCCCCCCCCAAAAAAAACACGCTTCAAATCGCTTTAAACTATTGTCATTGTAGTGCGTATTTAATGTGCCGCTGCACTCTGATGTTGTAGGAGAAAACATTTATTTCAAAGTCTATTTAATTAAGTAGAACGTGTCTATATTTATTAAAAGTTGCGCATTTTGAGGTGACGTCACATTTCTCACCCCCCCCCCCTCTCGTCACACATCGTCACAAATGTCTGACCCCCCCCCCCAGGTGCGTGACGTCATTTATGGACGGCCCCTTACGTTGCACAGCGCGTACACGGGGCAGCGGTGGCGCATTCGTTTGCGCACGACGCCGTGAACCCAGTGACCTGAGTTTGACCACTGGCCACGGCCAACATGGTCGGTTTGCGAGTTGATGTCCGACGGTTGCTCACCCACCCCCCCCCCGCCGTGACCGCCGTTAGCGCAGGGGAGGCCTCCATTCGGCAGCGGACCGGCAAAGAGAGGGGGGGGGGGCGGTAAATTTGGTAAAACTGTTACCGGGAACGCACCCGTGGCGGTGGTGTCGGTAGCACGTTCACGCGCTCAGACGCCTCTTGCGAGAGGGGTGGGGGGGGGGGGAAACGTCGGAGCTTCGTGCCGGACAAGTAACGCGCTCGGCACCATCCGCGGACACATCGGAGAGTGACGCAACCACGAATCGCCCCGTGGCTCAATGCCCCGTTCCTGGCTCCAGCGACGGGGTTACAGGTTTTAGGGTGCCCTGCTTGGCAACGGCAGTTTTATGTCGGATGCAACAGGCGACGGGAGTGTGTTTGTGTTTGGGGTTTGATAAATATCGTTGCGCCACGCCGAAGACTTTATGGTGAGACGTAAACATTGCTCACGGAGAGAGAGAGAGAGGGCCACGGGGAGATGGAGCAAGAGACGACGTTGACACGGAGACGGTGTTGGGAGAAGTTGTTGATTTTTTTCTCGATTGCTCAACTCACCCATGGCATTGGGACATGCGATCCTCGTCTGTTTACGTATGGGTGGCAATATCCGCCCTCAAATCCGTGTCGGGTTTCTATAACTGCGAATGGCACGGTTGGCTACGTACGGCGCGAATGAAGTTCAACATATATACACTACACTATACACTACACTATACACTCACTACAATACACTACACACACTACGCTATACACTACGCTATACACTACACTATACACTCACTACAATACACTACACACACTACGCTATACACTACGCTATACACTACACTATACACTCACTACAATACACTACACACACTACGCTATACACTACACTATACACTCACTACAATACACTACACACACTACGCTATACACTACGCTATACACTACACTATACACTCACTACAATACACTACACTCACTACGCTATACACTACACTATACACTCACTACAATACACTACACACACTACGCTATACACTACACTATACACTCACTACAATACACTACACATAGTACGCTATACACTATACTATACACTATACACTCACGACAATACACTACACACATTACGCTATAAACTACACTATACACTACACTACTATACACTAGACTACAGTTTAACATGTAGGCTGTCGCGACCAATACCATCCATAATAGAGGGTGTTTTGGGTTAGATCGCGTCAATATATCAATGTGTCGTTAAACCCGTCACCACCCGACACAGCCAACTAGTAAGGGTTGTCACGTAAACAGAACGTGCCAAGTCGTCACTAGTACAGCACCACCGGTGTGTTGGAGAGCCAAGCAACAGATTGTACATGTTGAGTTTACTTTGTTGTTCTTACCCCACACCTAGATTAGCACGGCTGGCTATGCAGGGTGCGAAAGACGTTCAACACATACACATATATATAACAACACACACATATAACACATACACATATATATAACAACACACACATATAACACACACATATATATATAACAACACACACATATAACACACACACATATATATAACAACACACACATATAACACACACACATATATAACAACACACACATATAACACGCACATATAACACGCACACGTAACTATATTGCACGGTGAAGAGATTTAAAGGTAATTTGTCTGAGCCAACTTTCGTTACAGGAAAATTATTTACCATGTTATTGATTTATGGTTGTGCAATATGTTCAATCTCTCCTTTAATGCAGTTGTTGTTGTTTTTTACTCTGATTTATCTTTAATTCGTGACTGCCAAGTATTTTATTTTGAAATTATCGTTATTTCCAGGTCACTCTTTCAAATGAAAGATCATCCCGGTCGTCTGAAAGCCCTCTCCGACCCCGCAAGCTCCGCAGCAGGATTTCAGCCTGGTTCATACAGATGTAATAACAGGGGAGACAAACCTACGGCGTGAGTGAACTAGTGGCCACGGGAGGTAATGACAGGGGAGTCAGACTGCAGTGCGAAGGGACTAGTGGCCACATGAGGTAATGACAGGGGAGTCAGCCTGCAGCGCGAAGGGACTAGTGGCCATGGGAGGTAATGACAGGGGAGTCAGCCTGCAGCGCGAAGGGACTAGTGGCCATGGGAGGTAATGACAGGGCAGTCAGCCTGCAGTGCAAAGGGACTAGTGGCCATGGGAGGTAATGACAGGGGAGTCAGCCTGCAGCGCGAAGGGACTAGTGGCCATGGGAGGTAATGACAGGGGAGTCAGCCTGCAGGGCGAAGGGACTAGTGGCCACGGGAGGTAATGACAGGGGAGTCAGCTTGCAGTACGAGTGGACTGGTGGCTACGGGAATGATCGAGAATAGGATCGTGGCCAAGTGACGGAAGAGGACGGTGGAGTCTGCTAGTGGAGCGAGCGGTCTAGAGCCAGCGGGAAGGTTCGGGAATGGGGGCGTGGCCTCGGACCGTATATAAGGGAGATGCGCGGGGGACTCGGGGCTGTTGCAGTGGGGGTCTCCGCCTGTCCGAGTGTGAGGATGTGGTTCCTTAATAAAATAAACCATCTCAAGACAAGTGCGTCGAAGTCGTCTTTACACGTGCATTGGATATTCATTGAGGACACCATTGAGTGTTGTAGGCTCGGGCTGTGAGGTGGCTAGAAAATGGCAGTGCAGCCATGAATTGAATCTATCCGTGTGGAGCTCAGTGTTGCCCGTCGTACTCGTGATGGGTTTTAAACTCAGCTTAACTTTAATTTCACCAGGTGTTGCCCACTGAGCGAAATATAGCTTGTTTTCAGAAACGACCTGGCCACAGATGATAGCTCAACAAAGAAGTGGCTTATCACGTCGAAATGTATAGCAGGCAAATAAACGCGTGTTTATTAATGTGGAGGTAAAAAAATGATGGAGGACCCGGAGAAAAATCCACGTGACTGCGGGGAGAACAAGCAAACTCCACACATACAGGCGTCAGTGTCGGGATCAAACCCACGACATCCTGCATACCAGGAGAGAGAGATAACATCTCGCCACCGTAGCTCCCCTCTCCCGGTTCTCCAGTTTCCCCTCACACGAAGCCAAACACTCAATTTAATGGAATTGGTAAAAAAAAATCCTCAAGTGCCAAAAGATACCCACTTGGAGACGAGTCCCTGAGACTCGGTAATACTTTCCTGGATAACAAAGAAGTACAGTACATTATGATGATGATAATCATGATGATGATAAATTACAGACCTTGGCACTTGCCACTTTCGTCACTGTGGCCCAGATCCTGGAGCCAGTCCTATCCTGTCTGCGGTGGCTTCACCCTGGCCACACACACAGAGCCCAGTATTTGACTATTATCTATCCCCTAGCAACGGCTGTGAGAAGGCCAGGCTAATAAAAAAGAGGGACAATCAGCATTCAGTCTTTTCAAATGCACGCACGTGTGTTATGTCTTTTGTGATAGACGTCCCCGTGATGAGACAGTTGTGGAGGGAGTGGAGAAGTTCCAGTGCTTGGGCAGTGTGCTTATTAACCAGCTCCGGTTTGGCAGCCGAGTTCTCACTCCGTATCGGTCGAGCGTCGTTATCATCGTCGTCAGCTGCGTAACGCTGTGGTGTGGAAGCTACCAGGCCTGCCGCTCCATACGAAGCTCCGCTATCGGAAGGTCACCAGTTCAAACCCCGGTCTGTGGTCGACTCAGTCCTTCATCCCTCCACGGGCAATAAAATAAGTGGCATTATGTTGGGGGAGTCAATAGTGGAATATCCACAACTGGCTCAGGAGATGAGGAAAGCCCCATGCTAACACGAGACTATGAAGAGTAAAATTAGCTTCATCCACCATTCTTGACCTCACACTCTGGGCCCAGTGAAACACATTCACCAACTGATGTGTTTTTTTAATTATTCCGTTCACAGGGGAAATTTCCATGGCTGAGACATCCATCGTTTGTGCGTGGAAAAGGGACAGACTTTTAACCGTGATTAAAAAAAACCACAACCACGTGGGACAACGTAGGCGTCACTGCGCCGGCAATGTCCGAGGAGACGACCACTCACGATCAGGAAGTTGTCCAGCGTGCTCTTGAGGTGCAGCACGAAAGGGGACGACGGTGACAGGATGTAGACGTGCAGCTCCACCGTATCGGCCGGCGATCCGCCGCCCTCCTCCCCCTCCTCGCCGCCACCGCCGCCGTCCTTCCGGCCCGGCGGCCCTCGAACTTTGACGCCGCACCTCAAAGTGGAGGCCACCGGCGAGCCGTCGCCGCGGCGCCGCGAGTCCCGAGAGGAGTCCGGAGACTTCCGCGCCGCTGCCGGAGAGCCGGCACGGGCGGTCGGAGGGTCGAGCGTCGGCCGAGCGGTGGCGCCACCCCAAGCGGCCGCCCCCGCCGAGGGCACGCAGGAGTCCGGCAGCTTTGGTAGCGGACGGAAGCCGGGAGTTGCGGCTGGACTCGGAGTCTTGGCGTTGGCGTGGGCCGGTGAGACGGACGATGGAGTTCGACCGGGGTCTGGCGAGTGGCGGTCTTCATCGCCGCGAGCTCCGGCTGTCGTCTGCGCTGACCGGCGTCTGGTGACAGCGAAAAAAAACAAAGTGGGAACGTTAAAGCAATCACCGGCAACAATGAACGGCGCTGAAGCATGACTTTAAAGATAAAATAAATACAACAAATCGTAGGCCTACAGGGAGCCATCGCAGTGACCAGAGGAAGTAAAGCGTGGACAAAGTTCGTCCAGCCTTAACGTTGGCCGCCTCGTGTCACGGTGGCAACCACCTCGCCTGGTCTGCAGGAGGTCGTGGGTTCGTCCCGACCCTGACGCCTGCTGCTGTATATTTGTATTTATGGATTTTTTATGTTCTCCCCGTGGTCGCGTGGATTTTTTCTACCAAGTCCTCGGGTTTTTCCCTCCACACTTAGAAACAACGCACGTGTCGAGTATTTGGCCGCTGTAAATTTCCGCAAAACGATAAGCCACTTCTTTGAGCCGTCGTTTGTGGCGGCGGCGAGTTCGCTTCTGAAAGAGAGCCACGCATCTCAAGTGGGCCTGTACTTCGCAAAACAAAACAGAGTTTAGTTTCAGTTTACGATGGACAGCAGACGAGAGTAGCGGAGAGGACCGAAGAGAGAAGAAGAAGAAGACAGAGAGAGAGAGACAGGCGGTGAGAGCTCCGTCGAGTGCCCACCGGCTTCGGTGCCGCCGTGGCCCGGCGGGTTCGCCGGTGCCGGCGCGCCGGTGCGTGACGACGATGTGCTGCGCGTTCTCGCGGTCGGCGCCGCTCAGGAACTCGGGCAAATCGTTCACCTGGCGTGGAGGGGGCAACGCGGGCACACGGAGCGGGGGGGGGCACGAGGGATTTCCATCTCTCACGCGTCCGGTCGCACGCACGCACACGTGCACCCGGCAGTCGGTGTCGCAGCTCGGGGTATGCCACCTATGAAAACTAAACTTTGAACATTTTTTTTATATTAACCAGGTAAGGCCCACATTATAGCATGCAGCCCAATACTCTAAATGCGTGTTGATTTTAAACGTGGAGGGAAAAACAGGAGGACCCGGAGAAAAATGCACACACAACCACAGGGAGAGAGACATGCAAACTCCAAATATACAGGCGTGAGGGTCGGGATCAAAACCACGACCTCCTGTATACCAGGCGAGGTAGTTAACATCTCGCCACCGCGGCTAAAACACACAATCGTGGACGAACACATCTTGGGAAGAAGAATATCTCCCAATCGGAGGAATGGAAGGCCAGCTACACAAGCGTGTTGTCTCGCGTGGCGTGTTATTTTATGCAAGTGACACTTAAAAAAACAACTGGAATTGTCACGTTCCAGGAAGTCGCTCCAGACTTTCCAGAAGAGTTACGCCAAACAGACGGGCGATGTTGGGAAAACCAGGACGGGTGTCAACCGGAGTCTCCCTGAGCGCGCAAAACTCAACTTTGGTGTCTCCCGCGGTGCGAGATTGATGCGTTAATGCGACTTTCAACACGATCGTTGGGAAGTGCGCCGACCAAGTTAGCGGAGCGGCTAGAGCGGGGACCGGCTCAGATCTCCGTGGCAACCTCTCGGCAGGGCCGAGCCAGCATCGGCCGAGCCGTGTCAGCGCGATTTCGGTGAGCCGAACGGCTCACTTTGCAAAGGGCGCTGCAGCACTATCAGCCGGGTTGCCCATCTTTGGCTGAGCCCTCCAGAAAAAAACTAAAAAACTACTTTTGAGATTTAGTCAAGAAAGTTTTGAGACTGCGAGTGATACTAATCCTGATTGAACAAATAAACGAACTGCTGGGAGACGTAGAGATGCCAAGTTGATGTTGTTGTTGATGTTGTTGTTGTTGTCAGTCTGTAACGCCCCAACGCTGGTTAGCAGCCTGCCCCACGTGCCTCCGATCCTCTCCTTGGTTTTTCTTGTCCAGTTGAGGCCTCTGAATTATTTCAGAAGGTGAATCAGGATGTGTATTTATACTGGAGGAATCTGATGAGCTATGAAGCTATTTTTTTGCCGATGTCCAGTAGGGGCGGGTCAGAACCTCCGATTAGCACGGTTAGCTACGTACGGCGTGGAAGAAGTTCAACATATATACACACAGAGAGAACGTTACAACAAACAAACAAAAACACCATAGCAGTGCAAAGTATAGGAAAAAATCATACAAAAATAAAACTAAATCATTGTTTTTATCTTAGCAGGTAAACCACACTGAGGCCATCTGGCCACAAATGACAGCTCAACAAAGTGGCCTTATCGCGTGGAAATCCATCGCAGCAAAAATAATCTCAACGATTTAAAATCTTCGATTTCGTCTCGCTGCTGCTGCCGCTGCTGCTGCCATGGACTTCCTGCCGTCTTCTCTCTGGGCACCGAGACCCGCAGTCTTAAAATCTCCACGTCTCACACGGCCAAGGCACGGCGTGCAAGAACTGTTTACTGAGTGGCTGTCGCTGGCTACGTAGAGAGAGAGAGAGACCGGCGCACAACATCGCAGCGTCCTCGTGTACACGGCCCCCATCGTCCGTCCGGTGTGCTAGTCCCAATGTTTATCTTTAGCAATGCCAGCAGCCGCATGGCGAGTGCGTTCGGCATTCAAGCCTCAAGAATAACTCCGCGTACGGGAAAACAAAGGCACTACCCCCTCCCCCCCTATCACTCAATGAGATCCTCTCTCAGACGTGATTATAAACGAAAGGCCGTTTGTTTTCTCCTTCGACACGGATGTCAGTGGCTGATGTCACGCATAGGATCAAGCTTGGTTCCGAATGAGAGTTGAGCACTGTATCATAATATCTGTCCATGGTCCTGAATCAGCTGGCTAATCGTGATTTAATGACGGACGGCTGCCAAGAGGCATCATCACGCAGCTAACGACCAACAGTAGTGGCGATAATCTGAAGCGGTCCTAGACACTGCCTTAGGTATACTCAGCTTTAAACGAGTACCCTGGGGAGACAAAGGCGGTCGGGTATTGTACCGTCACGGCCTTCACACACAACTTGCCCCAACCATCTGTTTAAACAGTAGTCACACCGCCTGCACACCACTCGAAGGCGACGCCACGGTTCGCCTGATCTCTACAAACACCCCTTCCCCTGTACCACCTGCACCAGCCCCTTGTCTCTCAGGCCAAACTCTTACAGTGGACCCACAAAACCGCAACAGGGACCACTCATCCACCAGCTGCAACGTGAACAAACCCACCACACTGCAGCAGGGACCACTCATTCACCAGCTGCAACGTGAACTAACCCACCAAACCGCAACAGGGACCACTCATTCACCAGCTGCAACGTGAACAAACCCACCAAACCGCAACAGGGACCACTCATCCACCAGCTGCAACGTGAACTACCCCACCAAACCGCAACAGGGACCACTCATCCACCAGCTGCAACGTGAACAAACCCACCAAACCGCAACAGGGACCACTCATCCACCAGCTGCAACGTGAACTACCCCACCAAACCGCAACAGGGACCACTCATTCACCAGCTGCAACGTGAACAAACCCACCAAACCGCAACAGGGACCACTCATTCACCAGCTGCAACGTGAACAAACCCACCAAACCGCAACAGGGACCACTCATTCACCAGCTGCAACGTGAACAAACCCACCAAACCGCAACAGGGACCACTCATTCACCAGCTGCAACGTGGACGAACCCACCAAACCGCAACAGGGACCACTCATCCACCAGCTGCAACGTGAACAAACCCACCAAACCGCAACAGGGACCACTCATTCACCAGCTGCAACGTGGACTAACCCACCAAACCGCAACAGGGACCACTCATTCACCAGCTGCAACGTGCACTAACCCACCAAACCGCAACAGGGACCACTCATCCACCAGCTGCAACGTGGACTAACCCACCAAACCGCAACAGGGACCACTCATTCACCAGCTGCAACGTGGACTAACCCACCAAACCGCAACAGGGACCACTCATCCACCAGCTGCAACGTGGACTAACCCACCAAACCGCAGCAGCGACCATTCATTCACCAGCTGCCTGCAACAGGGACCACTCATTCACCAGCTGCAACGTGCACTAACCCACCAAACCGCAACAGGGACCACTCATTCACCAGCTGCAACGTGGACTAACCCACCAAACCGCAGCAGGGACCATTCATTCACCAGCTGCAACGTGGACTAACCCACCAAAACCGCAGCAGGGACCATTCATTCACCAGCTGCAACAGGGACCACTCATCCACCAGCTGCAGCGTGGACCCACCCACCAGGCGCACGTGGGTCACGTCCCTGAGCTCCACCAGCTGCCCCAGCGAGCGCGGCGGGTTGTCCATGACGAGCAGGGCGCCGTCGGTGAGCACCACGAAGCGGTAGCGCCGCTCCACCACGCACGGCTCGTAGGCCCGCACCCTCTCCCAGTGGGCCCAGCGCAGCGAGCGCTCCAGGAAGCTCTCCAACTTGCTGTTGCGCCGGCAGGTCGCGGCGGCAGATGAGCTGCCCCATGACCCCCACGCGGCCATACGAAGAGTGGAGTGGGGGGGGGGGACCCGGGTAAACCGTGACTCCCAAAGCAGCGCGCTAATCACGAGAGAACTATGATGAACATGATGATCGTCGTCGTCGTCATCATCATGACGAACTCTAACTGACAGTTAACTGATAATGAGATCTACAATAATGCGGATGATGATACGAGGCTAGGAACCCCAGTGGTGATGATAAGACCTATTGTGACGATTACGATTTGATCACTCGGGCGATGATATGGCGGCACGATGATGAAATCAGAGCAGCTCAAAAAATAACAACACCTAAGGTGGTGATGGTGGTGATGACAATTCAGAGGCGCACGACGCTGCGTGGACAAATGTAACTTCGAGATGGAATTGCGGGAGGCCTTGTGCCTTCCTGCAGCGGGACGGTGCAGGGCTGACAACAGCAGCAGCGGCGACGATGATGATGAATGATCGCGATGTTGTGATGGTGCGCGCATCGAACCGCGCGACTCCTCCTTTTCTCTCCCCACTGGTGGAAAGTTCAATGGTGAAGATGACGACGACCACGACGATGTGACGACCTAGGCGGCGTGATGGACCGGGGTTAGGTGAGAATAAGTTCACTCCCGCACCAGGCTGAGACAGAAACGAGGCGCCGGCGTGCGCGAGGCACGAGCCGCGCGTGGCTCCATCATCATCATCATCCTCCCGTCGGCTGCGCTCGGCGGAGAGGTGGGGGCAGTGGAGTGAATGGGGGCGGGTGGGGTGGGCGAGGCGCGGGACTGGACCCACGGTTTCCAAATAGGATTCCAGACGCCCCCCCCCCCACACCTTTTTACGTTCAATACGGGGGGTCTCTCGCTCTCCACCCACCCACTCACCCACCACCCACCCACTCACTCACCACCCATCCAACTCGCTCACCACCCACCCACCCGCTCACCACCCCCTCACTCACTCACCCACTCCACCCACTCACCACCCACCCACTCGCTCACCACCCATCCACTCGCTCACCACCCATCCACTCGCTCACCACCCACCCACTCGCTCTCCACCCACTCACTCACCACCCACCCACTCTGCACTCCCCAGGGCGCAGATTCGTCCCACCCCCCGCGGTTGAGTGCGTGATTCCACGCAGCAGGCTACGGACGTCAAACAGCTGGCGACGTGGACGTGACGACGGAGCTTGTCGTCCTTACCCCCCCCCCGCACCTGCTCCGATCAGCGCGGTTGGCTACGTACGGTGCCGATGAAGTTCAACGCACACACACGTACTCACACACAGATCCCCCATATAGCCTCAACAGACTGTAGGGGCAAGTGCTGTTAGCGAGCACCTATGAAGGCCGGCACAGCACACGAGGGGGTGAGTGGCCAACACCACGCCCGGCCGCCTTTGTCTCCCTAGTGACGATGTTTACACATCGCACCAGGTACTCATTTGAGGCTGAGTCGACCTAGGGGAGGCCTGGTACCGGTTCAGAAAATCGTCACTGGTGTTGGCCGTGAGCGGGTCGCCAGGTTCATAGCGCAGCGCACTAACCGCTACACTACCGCTCCCCACTACACACACACGTACACACACACACGTACACACACGTACACACACACATGCAAACACACGTACAGACACACCCACACGTACACACACGTACACAGACACACACACACACGTACAGACACACCCACACACACACGTACACAGACACACGCACACGTACACAGACACACCCACACGTACACACACGTACACAGACACACACACACGTACACAGACACACACACACGTACACACCCACACACACACGTACACAGACACACACACACGTACACACACACACGTACACAGACACACACACACGTACAGACACACCCACACACACACGTACACAGACACACACACACGTACACACACACACGTACACAGACACGCGGCGCGTACGTCGCTCGCACCCCTCCGGCGGTGCCCCGGGTTTCGGACCCGCCAAGTTCCCGTGCCCCGCGCGGTGCAGCGCTCCGAGTACACGCGAGAGGAGGAGGCGGCCAGCCTAACCCGACAGACAGTTCGCCAAAAGCTCCCAATCCTCGGCAGAGTTTCCACCGTCGACGATCTCCGCGCTCTTCAGAACGTTGGCGGCGACGCGCTGCACGAGCCGGATGATTGGCACACGCGCACACGCGGACGGGTGTCCGTCCCGATTTTCGGCGAGACCGCTCGACTCAATCTTGATTTGAAGCTTTCGTGATTTTCACCTGAAGACGGGCGCTTGTGTTGCGTTCGAAACGTCGTCAGTTATTTTATTGTTTCTACCCACGTGACTTTACCGAAAGAATCAAAGAGTTTGGCTCGACTCGACGGACGGCCACGCGGGAGGCTTAGAACGCGCCGACGCCTTTCCGAGCCGACGCGTGCCACCGAGATGGGGCTTTGTGACGTCACCATCTTTAATGCAGTAGAGGACGGCAGAGCTTGGAGGCGATTATCGACGTACGGGTCTTACCGACCCTGGCTGACCGAGCGTCCGTGGCTCTTCCGAGCAACCCCGAGTCGTTTCTCTCGTCGCGAGCGAGCGCCGTGCCGACACCTTGCGAGTTAAACCTCGTGACCGGCGTCCGCACTACGCCGGCCGTGGCTGTTTAGACGTTTCGGGTTTGCCACCTTCGCGAGGTAGAAGCTGGAGGCGGTCGCCAATGTTTAAACAAAGTTGTTGGGGGGGGGGGGGGTGAGTTCAGAGCGAAGCGACCACAACAACGCGGCCGTCCACAAGTTCCAGTCGACCGCCTGGTGACCAGGCGCTGCTGTGCTCACGAGAAAGCAGCGTGCACAGGACCACGTGGTTAACTCATGGTCACTCGTTAGCAGCTTGGACAGGGGGTCCACTTACACGGTGCAGCGTTGCCCTGGTCTAGACTGCCACTATAATAGTTTTATGGGGTTCGATCGCGTAAATATCTAAATGTGTCGTTAAACTCGCCACCACCCGCCACAGCTAACTAGTAAGGGTTGTCACGTAAACAGAACGTGCCAATTCGTCACTAGTACAGCACTAACCGGTATGTTGGAGAGCCAAGCCACAACATTCACAATCCGAGTACGGCGTTTCGCCAGTAGATACAACTAGCTTCATCAGGCGACAGCCAGATTTGTTAAGTCCATCCGTTTCGAATGATATTGGTCGCGAAAGCTCACGTGTTAAACTAACCGCCGTTACCCTCACCAGGGCAAGCGGACTGACTGACGAACGAACGCTGGTTGCCCGAAGGAACGGATGAAGAGCAGTGCGCGTGACGAACACCCCCACGTGTCAACGCGACACCGCTGTCGTTTGAGCAATCTGTGCACACGCGAGCGTTTTACGACTCTGCAGCTCACACGCCTCGACTCGTCGTCAAATATCCGGAGTACAACAATGGCTAGCGTCCCACGAGCTCCACGCACCATAGCCGTGGACACGAGATTCTCGTGTTCACGGCCATAGTGCGTGCACCACTGGGTTAATGGCCATCGATATATTCCTGCATCCATGCACACCACCACTCGCAGTGTACACCTATGGTCGGTGGCTACCGGTCGATGCACGTGCAAACCCCTACTCGCTTTCAGCAAGACACTCAGTCTTGTACTCACTCCAGCACTGGTGGGAGGTGAGGATAGAGGGGAGGTGGGTGGCTGTGAGAGGTCTAAAAAAGCCATGCCTACTCACCCCCCCCCCCACAACGCCAACACCTAATCCCTCATCCGCTCACCGAGTCCTAAAATAGCTGGCGTTAGCAGCCGTGCGCTGACGCCGCCAGCAGGAACTGTACGAAAGCAAATAGGGCCCTTGGGGTGACACGGACATCAACGGTACGGCCTCTGTCAGACGGGAGGTTGGCACAATTCAGAATCTATGCAAAAAAATGTTAATCCGGTCTTGATCCGAAACGCGATGCAGTTGTCCAAGTTGGAATCGTCCTTTCCAAATTAAGAGTTTCACTCGCTACGCTCTCCTGATAAAGGGTCGGGGTTAACGACGTGGTGTCGATCGAGTGGCGTAGCAAATAATACAATCTGGCGAGGTCCAATTCCTTTCGTCTGTCGCCCGGTGCCTGGCTTCAAGTGCATCACCTGCACTCAAGCTACAACATTCCAAGCATCATGGGACCTCCTTTGCCAGTACCAAAATATGAGAATAGGTTTTCCCCTTTTTTCTGGCAACAAAACAGGTGTTAAAACACCAAACTGAAACCTTTTACAAGGTTTCATGCCTGCATTAACCACAATACTTGTGGTCAGAATGCAAACAAAAACATGTTTTTGATAATATATGCATTGTCTTTGAAACTGATTGGTCCACACCAGACAGCTTTCGGTGTTAGACCAGCAGACGCCAAAAGGCGCAAAGCTGCACTAACACACCCACGTGTGAACGCGCCTTTTGGCGTCCTCTGGTCTAACACCGTTTGAGACGAAAGAAATCTGTCTTTGGTGTGGACCAATCAGTTTCAATCAGACATTGCATATATCAAGAGTATGTTTTTCTTTGCATTCTGACCACAAATCTTGTGGTTAATGCAGACATAAATCATTTTAAAAGGTTTCAGTTTGGTGTTTTAACATCTTAACACAGCTGTTTTGTTGCCAGAAAAAAGGGGAAAACCTATCCTCGTCCCCAAGCATATCGCGAATCTGATAGGAACCGAATCCAGGATTGACCCGGTTAACTGGGGTCAGATTTTAATTGGTTCATGGAAACGCTGCAGCCACGAAAAATTCTGCATTCACCGCAACGGGAAAACACATCGATGGACGATGCCACGTTAACTACCTCGCCCAGCATACAGATCGGGGTTTTGATCCCAACCCCGACTGTTTTTTCATGCGGAGTATTTGGCTGCTATACAGCTCCACGTGATAAGCCACTTAACTGGGGCAAGGTCGTTACTGAGAGCGATATAGCTTAGAGGACCTTCCCTGGCAAAACAGGGCTATGCTTTGAATTTTGCTCCATTGTAAACAAATGCTCGTCATCTCCTGTATGTAGCCATTGACACAACCCAATTGGGAATAACAAGAGACCACGACCCATTGCTCATCACATTTCACTTCAATAGAATTTACCAGAATAGATTCTTAAATATTCTGAAGAGCCAATTCTGAAGCACTTGCAATGCAGTTTGGTTTATTTCCTACCTACAAGTGTTATTTTTTTTACCAAAGCCACTTAAAAACGTTTTATCAAACGGGGCTGATTAATGTGCCACGTGGTGGCTTGCAAAACACACGATTAAGGCGCCAGACCAATGCAATGTTATGCCCCCTGCCGCATCCCAGTGGAACTACAACCATAACTACAACGCACTACCCGCGCGTACGGCATGCGCACTTTGTTGGACGGCTTCTCCCACGTCGTCTTCCGGTTGTGGTTTGAATACTGCGACGGCGATTAGCGCCGTGTGGCAAAAGGGGAACACGGTGTCCAGAAACCGCGTTAACTACCCGGCAGAGGTGGCAAACGGGTTTTAATTCCTTACCCGTACCCAGCCGCACCAGGGTCGCAAACGGGTATCCTACCCGGCCGGGTATAGGGTACCTGATTGCGACCTCTGGGATGAAGCCATGTTGCAGGCGCGGGTGGGTTGATTCTAGGAACTTGAATTGTGAGAAAGGACGTTGGGAAATGAGTGACACTCACCAGTGACTCACGGCCTACCCGTACCCGGCCGCACCAGGGTCGCAAACAGGTACCCGGGTAGGGTATCGGGTACCCGGTTGCGACCTCTGCTACCCCGCTACCCGGGGTTCAAGCCAAACCCCGACGTCTGTTGTGTATCTGGAGTTAGCACGTTCTCCCTATGGTTGCGTGGATGTTTCGAGTCTGCTTTTTCCCTCCATATTTAGAAACGTGCGTTTAAAGTGTACATTTCCACAAAAGCCACTTCCGTTTTAGCCACCATTTGCGGCCAGGTCGCTTCTTACAACCAGCTATCGAGCTCAATAGGCTCCAGCTGGTAAAATGAGGTTCATATCTTGACTTAAAGCTTTCGTGACTGCAGGAATTAATTTTCTTTGGGTCGTTAGGTAAAGTCACGTAGATAGATGGGTTCTAATAAAATAACCTATCTACGTGACTTTACCTAACGACCCAAATAATAAAAGGTTCATAGTTTAAGAAAATCGCTAATGCCAAAGCGATCCCGTCGCCGGGAAAAAAATGAAGCGCCTATAAACACATTCCTGCGTAGGGAGCTGGTAGGAACGTTGGGTTGCTCGGTCAATGGCCAGGGTCAACGGCGGCGTAGTGTATTCCGCAAATATGCCCGACTGCGAGGACGGGCACAAGCCGGCGTGAGTAGGTTAAACGTTGAGTTTTATAAGGGCACCACGGGGTGACTAGCCCCTCCCCACCCAGCCCCAACCTCCCCACCCAGCCCCTCCCATTTTTGGATGCACGACAGACAGACACAATAATCCCGTGGGCTGGTGAAACCAGGTTCCTACCAGTAATATTTGACCTTTTCAACACAATTTTTGTGAAACCCCAAAGAAAATAAACGAGGCACGACCCGTCGCCACCCTGAAACCCTCGAAGCACACGGAGAGGAAAAACACCAGGAGGGGGGGGGGCTTCTGAAACAGCTCTTTATTATTGCGGTCAGCGGCCGCGCTCGTGGTCGTCGCACGGCCGCGTGGACAGCCCCGCCGCTCAGAAGAAGGTGTTGGGCCTCTTGGTGGTGAAGCGCGGCTTGTGCTGGCGACGGAGCACGCGGTGGGGCAGCGGGAACTTGATCTTGGAGTTCTGTCGCGAGCGGGGGACGGACAAGGCGGCGGTCAGCGACCGAGCAAGGGTGGCACACGAGACCACAGGCTGCACGTGCGCGACGATGATGACGACGCGAAGGTCGCGCAAAGTCCAGCCAGGGGGGTCAGACGAACGCTCGCGAGAAAACCGTTTTCGGACAATTGAAAATTGACTACTGAACTCTCCGGATGATGACGATGAGATGCTACGGAAAAGTAAGATGGCACCCCAAAGGTTGGGGGTCATTATAAAAACATGTCCAGGTAAAGTAGTAAAAAAAGGGTGGACATGTGTTAATAAAAGAGCAGATGCTGGAAAAAAATTTCATCTGGCAATCCGGGTATTATGGTGGTGTAAATGGCTGTGAGATGGCAATAAGGTTGCAGACTGCACCCAGTAACAATTAGTTATTTAACCCTTGTCCCAACACAATTCTGATGTTGGAAAAGGACCACATACTAGATTATAAGACAACCCTCAAATTACTTAACATATGGGGAAAAAAAGAGTGCGCTATCAGGAGAATAGGGTAATAAGATTCCTCAGGACACCAAGACCCATAATCCCATGGATTATGGGTCTATTTAATTATGATGATGGGGTGCAGTGGTAAGTCCGCCGCGCTAACCCAACGACCCGTGTTCAAATCCTGAGACTATCGTGCAGGGTAAACCAGCGCGACTCGGGGAATATAACAGCCGAGGTTTGACGCGTTCAAGAACCCGACTTGCACAAGAACAAAGAAACGGACACGGAGGGTCACTTTCTACCAAAACCCGAAATAAGGATTCCTCAAACCCCAATCCTTATGCAATACTACGTTCCACCTCTCCATGGTCATCTATGTGTATATAAGTGTTGAACTTATTTCGCAACGTACGTAGCCAGCCGTACTAATCGGCGCAGTTCTGAAGAATTGAGTTGTCAATCTAAATTAAAAATGTATATCTTTGTCTCGACGACATCAGAGATTGGTGCCAGCAAGATGTCGCCCCGACTTGAGCACATTGGCACAGGACGGAGTAAAGTGGAAATGACGAAAAGTGCCGTGGGGACACCTACGGGGCTATCTGACCACGGATCGTGGCGGCGGCGGCGACCTTTGTGGGCACTCATGCCAAGGCCAACATTTTAAAGGCGCACCGCACACACTTGTTGCAGCGTATAAAGCCGCAAGGAGTCTTAGGCAATAGAATACGAGAGGAGTGCAGGACGGGGGGGGGGGGGGGGACACACACACACAGAGGTGACTGCCTGAGCACAGAGAATAACACGGAGGGGGGGGGGGGGTCACCCACGTGGAACTGCTTGATGGCAGGGCGGCGGCACTTGCTGGCCTCGATCTCTTCCACCTTCATGATCTGGATCGAGTGGGCACGGGCGCGATGGCGAGCTCCCATGTCGCGGTCTGCGAGCGAGTGGACGAGAGGGGGGGGCGGCCATCGTCATCATCATCCCGGACATCACGTCAACCCGGTGCCATCTTCACTTTTAATTAGAGCCAGAACGTTTAATTATACTGGAGGAATCCGATGAGGAACGAAGCTCTTGTTGAAAGACATCCAGTAGGGGCGGGTATACCATACCTGTACACCCCTCATCAGTGCCTAACTTATTACAGACCATTTGAGACTTTAATATTTGGTCACCCTGTACCCTTATAAATCTCAACGCTCATCCTACAAGTCCCATCACGAGACGCAAAACAATGTACCAGTATTGAAACGGCTGTACACCGCATTAACCAGAAAACTGCATTTCCCTGTACAAGAATTCGGGTAAACCATTTGGGTTGACAGGCGTGGTATACTGAGACTTTGTACAGCACGTTACATTAAAACCCCATCCGAGTAGTGCCAACTGACGTTTATTAGCTTAATGGGTATAGAGAGCAGATTACGCAAAACGGCGGTGTCAGTTTATAAACTGTGTATATACACACAAGTTGGATATAAGCACACCCATTTGGGAGCAAGGTCCACTGTGCTTTTATCTCAAGTGTGCTTATACCAGAAGTCACCCTTTTGAATTCCACCACTGCTGTAAAGAAAGTGCGTTTCTCATTTCCACACTGCTTATATTAGTTGTGCGTTTTACCAAATTCTACTGTCGGTTCAAGTACCACCACTGAAGCTAGCTGTTCGACTTATGGCTGCGGCCAAACACGAGTGAACCTGAAACGATTCCGGGATTCCCCTTTCCCCAGCTCAGATGAGCCCATGAAGTTAAGCACAACAGCCACCACTACCCACACAGCGTGGAGGGGAGGCCGCCCTCATCCAGCAGTGGATTAACAATGGGCCGTCCGTGTCTACGTGATTCAGGCGACCGCAGGTGGCGGCGAAAAGTTATCATCTCCCTCGGCGCGTGGCTTCGATACCCCGACCCCTGACGCCCGTATATTTGGAGTTTGCACGTTTTCCCCGCGGTCCTGTGTGGTTTTTTTTTTTCCTCCGGACCCTCCGGTTTTAAACCCCTCCAACATTTAGAATCAACACCACGCGTTTGCTGAGCATTTGGCCGCTGCTGGAAATGGCCACGTGACAAGCCGGCCCTTGTTGAGCTATCAATTGCGGTGGCGAGGTCGCCTCTGAAAAATAAACCGTTGAAGCGTCGGGGGCGGTGGTGTCGGCGCTGGGTGCTGCTTACAGCAGGAGGTGACCGCCCCAGCCGTGGTGAGGTCGCGGTACTCGCGGTACATGTTGTGCGTGCCACTGCGCGAGTCGCAGCGCAGCCAGATGCCGAAGTTCTTGATCTTCTCCGGGCTCTTCTCAGAGACCTAAAAACGTCAGCGCCAAGCAACATCAGAAAATTCTAGATTTGAAAGTTTTCGTGACTGCCAGGATCCATATTCTTTGGTTCTTTCGGTAAAGTCGCGTAGGTGAAAAATAATAAAAAATTAAATCACGACGTTTCAATTGCAACACAAGCAATCATCATCATCAGGTGTGATGATGATTGCTTGTGTTGCAATCGATTTTTTTTCTTTCACCGTGACTTTACCGAAAGAACCAAAGAATAAACATCAGAAAAAATCCCCCCCCCCCCGACTTTGGATGAATGTAGATTGTACATTATAACGGCACATAAGACGTATTTAAATCATATTTTGGACCGATAGGATGAGCTATCAGACTGCAGGAATGGGTCCAAGGTGGAGACATCTAATTATAATAAAAGGGCGTCAAAATGTTTACTATTTATACTTCCAGAGGTGAAGGGTTGCTGAAAAAATCTTCATCAGCAGGTTGACAAGAGCACTCGATATTAGAGAATGGATTTAAGGTGAATAAGAAGAAACTAGAACTATTACAATTACATTTCCCTCACCAATATTTGTGGCTTTTCTGTCAACGTTATCACCGCAACAAATGCGATGAAATTAATAAGATCTGTTCCAACTTGATTTCACTTCAGGGGTCATTGGAGGGACCCCAGAAGGCGACAAGTCGAAATGCTCTCCGCGCACGAGACTTAAGAACACCAGGGGAATCTAGATGCTCTTAATGGGTTTGTGCGCGGTCGACAGGAAGCAAATCGTGGCCACTATGTTGCCAACGGAGCCTTCCTGTATCACCACGAGGAGATCGCAACCAGGACAAAAAACTAAAACATCACATTTCTCAAAACACTGTGGCCTTGAAGCAAAAGTATTTAACAGGGGACGTTTCAGGCAATGGTCCTTGTTAATGGATTGGCAGACTCTTGCCCTTCCCCCAGCACCTCGAATTACCACGGTCTGCGACGTGCGGTGCAAAAGGAGTTCAATGTAGGGGCACCATATGTGGGGCGCACTAAGTACCAAGGTGCGTCGGCCGCAAAAATAATATACAGCGCCAACAACGGGCGCTGGCACGCTCACCCTGCCGCAGTAGACGATCTCGCCAGCGGACTTCTTGAGCTTCTTCAGCTGGGACGCGAAGTACCAGAAGCGCGACTTGGCCACCACATTGTTGGGCGCGAAGATGCGCATGCGGTAGAGGGGAGGGTGCACCTGCTTGGGGGAGGGCAGGCGACGCCCGATGATTTTGAACTCCTTGAGCTGTGGGGTCCAACGGGAGGCGGAAGGGGGGACCACACAGCAAATCAATGCACGGGCAGCGAGCGTTCGATGAAACATTCGCCAACGCGCGCGAAACAAAAATAAAACCCCGCTTTCAACAGCGACGAACACGATTGATTTTGGTTCCCGCTAATGGCTAAAGAGCTTTGCACCGGCTCCATAAAACATTTTGCGTTCTTAATTTGAATGACATCTGAGATGCTGTGGTCCCAAGGGGGAAAAATATGCACCAATACAAATCAATTCTTACACTCGCACATCTACTGAACGGTGGGAGAATTGGTTTACAATGTATTTTATACGGGTACATTAGAGGTCACTTTGCCCCTTGGCTTATCCATAAATGGTAACTCTTCCACTAATTACTGTGGTATATTTAGAATCCAGTTAAGATTCATTTTCAAGGATAACATTTAATTTCGAGGCATTGTTCAGTAATGTTCTGCATGTCAGCATGTCTGGTTTTGTTGCTTCCGGACCTAAATAATTGCAAGCCAAGACATACAATGTTCTGTTCCAAGTGTTAATAACAGTTTGGGTAACAATCATACTTTCCATACACGGGTTCACTCTTGAAACATACACCTGTCAATCCACACGGTTTACCCGTATTCTTGCACAGGGAAATTGAGTTTTCAGGTACAGACGTTTCAATACGGGCAATTTTTTTGTGTCTATTTATGATGGGACTTTGTAAGATAAACGTTCAGTATTATAATGGGCACGGGGTGACCAGTAAGGTCCGAATTGGTCTGTAATAAGGTAGGCACTGATAAGGGGGTGACAGGTATGGAATAACATTGCATGAACATTGTTCCTTAGAGATTAAAAACGTGTATTCTAAATGCAACGGCTTTCACATTTTCTCGATTTAATAACTAATATTTGGGTTAATACTTTTATCATACATTTGTATCATACAAATGTAACATGCAAATCTTAACTTAGTTCCTAGTCTCAGTTTCATCTGCTTTATTTTATCGAAGCTGTTTTACCAAATGTAAATGTTGTGGATTTGCTCTCCAATACACCGGTATGCTGTACTAGTAACAAATTAGCATGTTCTGTTTACGTGACAAATCTTACTAATTGGCTGTGTCGGGTGGTGGCGGGTTTAACGACAAATTAATGTTTACGCAACCGAACCCAAAAAAAACTATATTATGGACATTGGTCGCGAAAGCCTACACGTGTTAAACTTGACTTAAAGCTTTCGTTACTGCAGGAATTCATATTCTTGGGGTCTTTCGGTAAAGTCACGTAGATAGGATTGACGTTTCGATTGAAACGTCGTTGTTATTTGTTATTTTCTTTCAACCTATTTACGCGACTTTATTTTATACCTACGTGACTTTACCGAAAGAACCAAAGAGTATGGATTCCTGCAGTCACGAAAGCTTCAAATCAAGAATATGTTCAACTGTTTGACCAGGGGAGTTTCTGAAATTAAACATGTGATATTACCCCGGATAATACAGGTAGGAACAACAGGTTCCACACTGCCCACCGAGGATTATTTGTCTGTCTGTCGTGCATGATTGCGCTGTCCAACCAAGTTCCTACCTGTCCACTCCAAAGGAACGTGTTTAGTCAATAAGGCCATTTATTATGGTTTAATAAAGGGCTGTTTCCCACCTGCAGGTAAAATAAAAGTTGACTACTACACATGCGTTTATTGATCCGTGACCTTAATCGACGGAGTTGACAAACCCAGAAAATAGAAGTTAAACAAAATATTTGTCAATATCCGTACACTTTTTTTCTAATACATAAACGGATGCAAATGTTGTATCAGCCATGTTCACTTCGCGGGCCACGGTAGGAGACCCGTGAAGGCTAAGGGCCGAGCCTTCCTTTCTGCACACATGACTTAAGGGCATCAGGGGTAGCTAGATGCTCTTAATGGGTTGTGTGCAAATGGCGTTTACAAAAGAAATGCATGTAACCTCAGGCCGGGGCGTTCATAGCTAGGGAACGAGGTGCTTATTATTTTACAAGGGCTGAGACACCGGGGTTTTAAGCGGCAAGTGACGATTGCGATTTTTAACGAGCTATTAAAAACTAAAGTTAATCTCGGTTACGACGGCCTAGAATCGCCGGTTTCAGAGAACGACAATGGCGATATTTTAAGACGAAACAGCACCGTGTGGCTTTGTTACATTACAGGTAACACGTGGTAGAGGCCCACAGATAGTACTTTGTGCTGTTCAAAACGTAGCTTAATATGGGTTAGTTCGTACACACATTTACACAACAGACACGCCACTCTCCACTTAACCGAAATATTAACCTCCAACTCTGTCAACCCCCGCTGCCTTGTTCATAAACGTAATTAAATATCTCTGCTCACACGCGCATGGGCAGACTTCTCCCGTTTACAGCCCAGAATCGATGGTGGAAGAAAATGAATGAACCGGGCAGCGGCTGGTGAAATGCTACTCACGTGGTCGACCGAGGATGACTTTCTGGCGGCAATTATTTTCTGGCACTTTTGTAAAAGTGCGACGCTAACGCCAACATTGCGGGAAAAGCCCGCAAGCGACTATTGTTGTAAAGTTCAGTTGTTTGATGGAATAACTCCCTTTTGAATATTTGATTCACGAGCGGACATTCTCTATAGACTGCTGGACGGTCTCCATGGCCGTCTCATCCCCCAACTCCCATGTTATTAGTCAGCATAAAAGAGCCGCGTGCTAATATCGCGTTAATCTCAGGCAAATACTGCCTGTCCCCCCCAAGTCTGCGTGTATATTTCTTCGGGTTAAGTACCCGATTCGACCCGTTTGGCAAATTCCATTCATGGTTTGGAACAGCAGTCTTAACACCGCGCGACAATATAATATTTTTACAAAATGGTCCACTCATGTTCACAATTTTGCGCGACAAGCATAAATGCACACCTACTCGTATAACAAACCCAAATCAGTTTAAATACGCTCGTGGGTACGTTATAGAGCGGCGTTACCAAAAAACCCCACATTAAGTTCCCATTCCCGGCCACGAGTATAACAACGACGCGTTACAATGCCCGTCAGGACGCGTCCTGTAGTTCCAACCCCAAGACCCGGACCCCCCTCAATCTCGCAACCGACCAGCGTGGCGAGGCGTGAGCATGTAAGCAGCAGCACTTTAATACACTAACAAAAAGCGGCCGTGGATTAAACAAACAAAACAACGATTTATCCCGTGAGGCGAGAACCGCCGCCCGCCTGCCCGCACGTGGCCGCCAGCCGCCATGTCAGAGCAGAGACGCCACGAGCGGGTGGGGTCCCAGACTGGCGACGAGAAACCAAAACCCCGAGGCCGCGGCCACCGACAAGCCGGCGGCTCCCCGCCAAGCTCGCCGCGTGGAGGACCGAGAGAGGCGAGAGGGGCTGGAGGGGGATGGGGGATGGCGAAGGGAGCGAAGGGAGCGAAGGGAGCGAGGGGAGCGAGGGGAACCGCACCGCTCCGGAGGCCTTCATCTTCCCTCGTGGACGCCTCGCCGGAAAGAGGGAGCCGCCTCGCTTCCGGGTCACGCTTCAACTTCCGGGTCACAGAGGGAGGGGCGGTAACAACGTTATCTTTTTTTTAAATATGTATTTCGAATTTATTTAGAATCGGGGTAATTGTCAAAATGTTGGTTCGTTAAAGTGCCGTGGTTTTTTGCGTGCGGACGCATTCGTTTTCGATGTTTGCTGAAAAAATAAAAAATGAAATTTAACTTCCGATTTCCGGTTCGGGTAACGCGTTGTCCGCGTGGCGCTGCGCGGCATCGATCCCCTCTTCGGACTCGGATCGATCATTGACGAAGCACGCGGAACGAACGCCGCTTGCAGGGAGGAGGAGGAGGACGAACGCAAAGGTTGCGACTTGCAAAGGCCCCCGAGCATCGAGCCACAGACCCCGCCAACAAACAAGAGAGAGAGGGGAGAGCGCGCTGACGAGAATCGACCAGGAATCGATTCATCTCAAGTGTGCGCGAGTGATCCCGTGGCATTTAACTGAACCACAAAGAGGGGGGTGATTCCATGTGAATCCCAAAGCGATTGATTAACGTTCGATCGAATTCCAATCGAACGCAATCGATGAATCCGTAACAAGATTCGATTTATTCGTGAATCCAGCGTAAAGATATCGACGCGAATCTCAGCATAGAACCGATGAATCGATCCAGTAGCCCGGTGCTTTACCACGCTGGGTTGAGTTCACCAATTCTAGATTTGAAGCTTTCGTGACTGCAAGCATTCATGCTCTTAGGCTTTGTCGGTAAAGTCACGTAGGTAAAAAATAAAAATAATATAAATAAAAGAATAAATAATTAACTAGTTTTGCTTTATTTCTATTATTCATTTTATTTTTTACCTACGTGACTTTACCGAAAAAGCCTAAGAGTATGAGTTCACCAATACCTGAGCCGGTGGCCTCTATCCACTGCTGGCTTCCTCCCACCCCGGTTGGGTTCTATCCGCTGCTGGATGGAGGCCTCAATCATGCCGTCACCGCCCATCTCTATCTCGTGCACTCACGAGAAGCAGGATATTTGTTTTCGCTGGAGGAATCCGATGAGCTGTAAAGCTCTTAGGATGAAAACATAAGAATAGGTCTGACCCTTTCTGGGAATATGACAAGAGTTGTGTTAAGATGTTCAAACACAAAATAGAAACCTTTAGCAGGGAATCAAGCTCCTGCATTAACCACAGTTTCAAAGACAGTGCATTATATATTATCAGAGCATGAACATAAGCCACTTCTGATTTAAAGCTTTCGTGACTGCAGGGATTCATATTCTTGGTTCTTTCGGTAAAGTCACGTAGAAGGGAAATAATAAAATACAAATATAAAACAATAAAATATCTCACGTTTCGACTGCAACACAAGCAATCATCATCAGGTGTGAAATCCACAGCTTGTGTTGCAGTCGAAACGTCGTGAGAATTTTTATTGTTTTATATTTGTATTTTATTATTTCCCTTCTACGTGACTTTACCGAAAGAACCAAGAATATGAATCCCTGCAGTCACGAAAGCTTGAAATCAGAAGTGGCTTATGTTCATGTTTTTTTTTGTTGCGGTTGCACCCGATTCAAGAGCCGAATGGCTCACAGGGCTATACCAAATAAATGAAACTGAAAACTGAAATCACGTGGAAATATATTGCAGCTTAATAGTCTAAACGCGTGTTTCATAAATGTGGAGGGAAAACCCGGAGGACTCGGAGACAAATCCACGCGATCACGGAAAGAGAAATACGCAAACTCCAAATATACAACGGGCATCAGGGTAGCGATTGAACCCACGACCTCCTGTGTACCTGGCGAGGTAGTTAACATCTCGCCACTGCGGCGCCACGCTCATCCCCGATGTGTCCAGCCCAAGCCTACTTGTCCGTCTCAATTGCCAAACTGATATGGAGTGAATTGTGATCCATGCTATAATCATTTGTGATACAATTGTACGTGTGACTGAATTATTTTACTGAAGCTGCCAACGTAGATTGCATTTACAGAATGCACTCTGCAGAATATTGATGTGCCATACAATATGTTTGGAACCGTAACATGATCAACCTATGCAATATTAACACAACACACAAATCCCTACACATGGTGCAATAAATGCACTGTACCAACAACATTACAAATTGCACAACACATTTTATGAAATGAACGTAAATCTCTATAATGAAAGGGTTTCCAGCTTAATGTCTTGGCAGTTATGGGAACAATGCCAGGTTCATCAATTACTGCTTCCAATAAAAGGAGAAATAACTTGAATATAAATTACCACCGTTAAAAAAACATGATTAAATCCCTTTTGAAAACCACAAGTGATAGTCCAATGTCAATCCACAGCCTGCATGAAGGGCACCCCAGAAAGGATTTTAGTCATCGAGGTTGTTTGACCAAACCTCACCACTCCGTTCAGTGCCGTTCTGTCCAGGTGGGGCCAAGATCCGGTTCAGCTATCACTCGCCACTGATGTCACCCGTGGCCGGGAACTTAACTCAGGTGGCCCGGGTCCATAGCACGGTGCGCTCACCATGCCACCGGTCCGTGGCCGCTTACCGTTTCCCAAATGGAATCGTTTTGGGCGCTGCTCGAGGTCTGCTTGGGAAGTCATGGTGCGGGAGTGAAGATGGAATTGTGTGGCTGACGTGAAGCTGTTTTGCGATGATGTTTATTGCCTGGGCAAAGGTGCGGTACATGTCCCTGTGAATATGGATGTATTTCCGGAAAACATGAAATGCAGACATCAAATTCAATTGAACACTTTTATTGTGCTAAAACGTAATGCTAACCAGTGTTTTGGCAGACAAAAAAATTCCCTTATCACGTCAATAAAATCAACAGGCTCCTGTCTCTAGCTAAAACTTTATATTGTCTACAGCAATACAAATTTGAATATGAAAACTTAACATGCCTACAGTGTAAACAAACAAAGAAAAATATCTTCAAACTTATGAGTTCCAACCTCCAAATAGAAAAATCAATCGGGTGGCATAGTGAGCCACTCTCACACACGTCCCTCAGCTCCGGTTAAAACCTGGGTGCCGTGCAAAGCTCTGCAACAAGATTAGTAACCCGCACCTTCCTCGCGATATGGAGTCTTCCTTTATTTGAATACAAATGATGATATAATAAGGTTACAAAATATAGTTGAATTTCAACGAATCATTATGCTAACCTTGGATTGGAGGACACATGAATGCTAGCAAATTATCTAAAACATTTTTTTACGTCGGTCCACTCCGAATCTTTTTCGTAGCTGTCATAGGGATCTCATGAAATAATACAGTTTAACATTTTTTTCTTCCTTTTAATGGAACAGCAATGAGTTTGTGGAGCATACGAGGCAGGCTCGTGGAGGCATTGATGCCACAAGCACCTTGAATGTGGCCGGGGCCACAGCGAACACGCGCACACACACGGACCACCGCAGGAAAGTGGCCGCAACAACAACAACAACATCATCTCCACGCCGGTGCGCGCGTGTCCAGCCACCCCCCCCCCCCCCAAAACACCATCAAATTACACGACGATGTCGAAAAAATATAGCACGGCGTTCCTTCTAGTACACTCACACCGAACAGGCTATGGGGAAACATGAGCGTTGTAAGGTGGCGTGAAAACCGACAAGATTATTCGGTGGGTTGAGGCTGCGTGCGTGCGAGCCGGCAGGCCAGGCACGTGGGCGACTATCTCAAGGAGTTCGTGGGCCGCGCGGTGGCAATGAAAATGCGCCGAAGCCTTCATCTCTCCACACGCGAGAGTATCGATGAGCCTGCAGACAATCCCGGTAATATCACCGATGGAGTCTCAATAGCGTGGGTTGTTTTTAAAAGCATCGCGGCAGGCAACAGCTAAAGATGTTTCCCCCCTCCAAGATTCGTACTTGGTGGGAAGTCATCGTTGGATGTCTCATGGAAAGACTGGTTTCCACAATAATAATATGGAGTTGGTGGGAAGTCATCGTTGGATGTCTCATGGAGAGACTGGTTTCCCACAATAATAATATTGAGTTTTCGCCGCTGAGTCAGGATCGTTCGTAATTATGAGTAACGCCCAAGGCTCATTTGAACAAAGGAACACACTTTCATATTGATAATGCTGGTAGAACATACTGGCTAACCAGGGAGGAAGTTGACGATGTGAGAATTAAAAATATTCTGTGGTCTTACCACTTACGGCCAAATATGAATCAGTAAGTTGAGCTAACGAACAGGACACTGACTGCGAAACCCTGTCACCACGTCACTATCGAATCACAAAACTTCTTTCGTTGACATTTAAAAAATTACAGCTATCTCCCAATGCAGTGTATTATTATTATTGAACCTTAAATGGAAGGATGTTCGCACAATCTTCCATCCGTCTTGTTTTAAATTCACTCATCGCGTGTGCTTGCATTTGTCTACACACAGCAAATGTACAGCCCTAAACACACAATAATTTCACACAGTGTAAGCTTTTTATGTATTTTGTTAACAGCTGAGTACCGTGTACAAAAAAAAGATCCCAAACGTAGTGTGAGCAACCAGCATCATTACAAAATCGGTTGTCGCAGTTTACCATATACACATATAAATATAGTTAGCACTTTTTCATTTTCACCCATCGATTCGAAATACTTATTTCAGCACAAGTTACACGTGACTTCATCATTAATATCAAGACGGACGCATTTCCCAGATCGAGAAAAAAAAGAGGCAAAGCTTTTCACGAGAAACACAGATGGGTGAGGGACCCGCAAGCAACGACCACCGCTGCTGCTGCTGATGATGATGGCTCTCCTCCGGTCTGCGCCGCTTGCATGCGTTGCTTACATAAGGCCAAGCAAAAGGACTGGGTCACGAACCTTCAAAATCATTTGTAGAATAAATCGGTGATAGCAAAGCGCCACTCCCAAATGTAAAAACAAAACAATTTGCGTTGTTTAATGTGGACGTGGCTGAGAGGACGAGCTCCCAGGAGACGGAGCAATTAAATCGACTCGTGTGCAGGCGCAACGTGGACCGGGATTGGGGAGGTCTTCACCCACCAGTGAATTGATCATGACTGCTGTTGCTGATCACGATTCAATGTAAATCGGGTCTGGCACCTGTTAGCTGGGGTGAGGGGTGGGGAGCGATGATAAGATATGAAACACAAGTGGCTGGCTGAACGGCTGAGAAGACAAAACCGCGAGCCTGCCGGCGGATATAGATCGGTGTAAATATTGATGCTGCCGCACGGCGCTAGCGGCTGTCAGCCTCGGGGTTCGTTCTGCGTTGTGCGGACAAGCGCTGCACTGTGCCGCACCGCAACGGCGACTTAAGATAGGAACGGACACAAGGGCCATGGGATGGCCATGTGCGAGAGAACGCTCTGCCCCTAAGTGGACACTTGCACGGGTTTATTGCCCGTAACACTTACAGTCAGCTTGCATGCACTGTCAAATAAAATTATCGTCTCGCACTCTTTGCAAAAAACTACAGCAGGCTGGAATTGTGCTATTCCTTACAGCTATCTTGGGTTATTCTTTTTGTTTCACCCGTTTAATTTTCACATGGCATGGCTTTTTAAACGACGATTAACCCTAAGGATGCTTCTTCACCAGCGCTCTCGTGACCCTTGACCCTGATGATGTCATCGCAGTGCAACGTGGGTGACCCTTTGACCCTTGACCGCCGACCTCACTCGGGGCCGGCAGTGGCCGTGGCCGCGGCGGTGGCGGCGGCGCTGGGCACCGCGATGGCGGAGGGCAGCTGCACGTGGGACGGAGAGGTGGGTGACGGAGTCCCCGAGATCATTTCGTCGGACGCGGACAAAGAAGATGGGCTGGGGCCTGCGAAGAAAGGAATAACGTGACGCAGTGACATGGACCAGTGATTTGTTCAGGCAAAGCGACTGGGCTGAAGAGAACCAGGCTTCAGCTACAGAGATGGTGGGAGGGGTGGTGATGGGACACGGGAGAGCCTTACTTGAAATGAGTTCTCGATCTCACCGTGCTACGCCGCTGGTCAAGAGACATTCGCTCGCCAAGTGTGCCACGTGGAGGAGACTACCGAGCTGTGTAAAAGTCATCCGCAACTGTTCATATCGGCAGTCATCGTGAACTACAGACATCAACCTGTTTCTTTTTGTTCATGCCGGACTGATGTTTATATAACAAAAACATATATTTCCCCTCTGGTCAGACCTACTTTGACGAAACTCCAACCCCCCCCCCTCTTCCCCACCTCATCAAATCCCTTTGAGGTCGCAAGACGGTTACAGCGGTCCACGGGGTAAGTTGAGAGATAGAGCCTCTCTCGTCTTAAGCCTGCGCCTGCGAGATTGGCACCTCCACATTGGGCGTGCAACCACATTGGCATCTACAGATTGGGCATTCAACCAGCTGGCACCGATCCGCAAGTGTCTCGGCAGCCCAAGGATTTGGCACACGCACGACTGGAAGGCAATTCATTATTGGCGATGCCTTCCCGTTAACATGCTGAGCTGCGTCTGTAGAAAACGCACCTTGGGGACCCTAATTAACCCTGCTGGGCAAACTCTACGCGTGGGGTCAGGGGATGGCAGGGCTCTAGAAAGACGGAACCAAGGGAAAGTACAAAGTAGGCAAAATGGCATGGGGATAAACTGATGGGACGCGATCATTGTAATGGCAATGTGTGGGGAAAAAGCCGATACACATCGGGATGGGATGCACGGAAAGCCCCACGTGTCAGACTGAGGATCGGAGTGTGGCGTACAGTTGTGTATGCCGCAAACACGTGGACTCTGAGGACGGAGGAGACAAGAAGACGGGAGAGTCTTGAGCTGTGGTTTGTTGCTTGGAATGGAGAAACACAATTTGGTGGAGAGGTGGAGCAATGGGGAAGTTGTAGAGCAGGTACAAGAGGAGACATGAAAATAAAGAACAATCGAAAAAATTCCAACAGATGTGGATTGGGCACATTCTCAAGAGTTGAAAGCTTGGTGAAGGGAGGTCTGGATGGAGCAATTTGGGAAGGAGGCCAAGAAACAGAAAAATAAAGACGCTGCTTGACAACTGGAAGAAAGGGCCACCTTGGTGATATGAAGGCTCTATGAGATCTCTTTTACCAGTGGCAAATATAGTAGTAGGTTTTTACCCTTTTAAAGTGGTACAAGTCAGTTTTGTACCAGTTTAAAAGGGTAAAAACCTACTACGATATGAAGGCTATTTTAACAGATGATGAGCCAGTAGGGGGCGATGTTGCTAAGTGTTTATAGCCAATTAAGTAATTAGTGGTTTAAAGAACATGTATTTTATTGGCACATTTTGAAAACGACGCCACCACACACGGGCCTTCTCTTTATCAAACGACGCCACTGATTCTTAATGTCCACGGCGTTCAAATGTTTTTTGTTGCTAAAAACACCCGCAGTATTAACCAGGGTGGCCACCGGGCCTCGGACCACGCGAACCTCCTACAACAAGCGGCAAACGCGCCCACAGCTCAGTCGTGTCACCACCCCCCCCAAAATAGAGAGACAGAGACCACGGGGGGGGGGGGGAGTGAAGGGGGGGAGTGGTGCACGCAGAGCAACTCACAGTCCTTGCTGACGGCAGCCGGAGTGAGAAGTTTCCCATTGCTGGGGCTGGCGTTTGACTGCTGCGTCGCGCTGTCCTGGTTGGAGCCGATGTGCAGCCTCCGCATGTGGCACACTATCACCGTGGCGTTGAACGCTTGCTGCGGAACAACAGCCGCGTGCTGCGTCAGCTGTGCCGCGCCCCAGGCCGACGCCGAGACTGGGCAAAGCTGGCGTCTATTTTTCAATTTAAAGCTTTCGTGACTGCAGGGATTCATCTTCTTGGTTCTTTCGGTAAAGTCACGTAGAATGGAAATAATAAAATAATAAAATAATAAAAATAAAACATGATTAAATAATATTTTATTATGTTTGTTTTTTTTTATTTTTTTATTTCCATTCTACGTGACTTTACTGACGTCTATTATTATTATTTCATACGGAATGCTCCTGCCTGATAACATCCGATATAATCTAGCAGCATTTGTTTAAGAAGCCCGACACTGCTGATGAGGTCTCCACAGAAGGTCAAAAGGGGTCCAGGGTCTTGCTTGCTCAAGCGAATGCTGCTTGCGAATGTTGGAACGGAGGGCCAAAGCGCCAAATGGACTTGGCGATGTTTTTTTGTTTCAACGTGGAGACAGAAGAGAGTTCCGCTCCTATTTCACTTTTTTTTTGCCATCGTGCGGTTTAGCTCTCCGATCGGTTTTCGGGTTGTTACTTCGTGTTGTTTGGCACGATGTCCGACGTTTTAATTCGCTCCCTGAAGGGGCTCCCGGGCACGTGGGAGCGAAACGTCAGACGTCGCGCCGAGAAACGGCGCGGTGCAACCCGTAAACACGCGGGAGAGTTGTCGGGCCAACATCGATGATGACGCCAGTTTGTCAATAATCGAGGCCCGTTCTAACCTCCCTGACATCAACCGGCCTCCACCACAGTGGCCTGGCATTCGCGGGCGAACCTTCATTGGTATCTAGGCCCATATAATCTTTTCGGCTGTGTAAAATGTATATTTTTTGTCAGTTTGATTCCTTTTGTGCAAAGGACGTCATTTCGGATGTCCCGCAGAGCAATGCAACCCTGCACGTGAGAGAACGGCCCACGGAAGAGGATATCACAGAGCTACATGAAATTATTTCAAGCGAACCTGGCCTGCACAGTAGGGGGTGGGGGGGGGGTTGCAGCACAGCTACTCACTCGCCACTTGCTCTTGGCGAAGTTCTTGCGAATCTGCTCGCTGACCGACTCGTGGATGTTCTTGTCGAGGGCGGTGTCCCCGGCGATCCTGCAAGACGCCGCGCGGCGGTCAGCGGCCGTTTGCTGAGCCGAGCGACAACCAAACCATGCAACTCTGGCCATGATAAAAACCCATCTGGATCTACTTCGAGTGTGGGTGAGTTGGTGGGGGGGGGGGGGGTGTCAAGCAGTGCTCGAGTTGCTCTCGACAATGACGTGTCATCATGAGCACCATCTACGAGCGGCGACGTCGTCGGAGCAGCAACCCGGGCCGCCTCGTGGAGCCCGCTGCCTCGGCACGGCGCCGGCCACGGCTCGGTTGTGCAATGGAAAAAGAAGAGGAGGGAGAGAGAGACGCGAGCTCACCACGGGTGCTGCAGCGCCTGCTTGCACGTGTAGCGCTTGGACGGCTCCTTCTCCATCAGGTGGTGGATGAAGTCCTTGGCTGAGAAAGAGCGGAGCAGCGCAGAGGCGAGCGTCGTCAGCGAGCGTCCGTGCCGTGGGGGGGGGGGGGGGGGGGGAGCTGGTGGTGGTGAGGCTACCGACTGGAATTATTGAAGGCTGAGGTGGTCTATGGGAGGCCCAGACCCAGGAAGAGATCACAATTACCGCAGATTCCGTGTAACAATCACGTGTAACACTCACATGACACGTAGAGCACACGCAATACATGACGACGCATGTAATACACATGACACAAGGAACACACAAAGACAAAGATCCCTTTATAGCCTTCACAGTCTGTTGGGGCAAGTGCGGTTAGCGAGCACCTATGAAGGCCGGCACGGCGCACGAGGGGTGAGTGGCCAGCACCACGCCCGATCGCCTTTGTCTCCGAAGTGGAGATGATTTTACACACCGCACCAGGTACTCATTTTAGGCTGAGTCGACCTAGGGGAGGCCCAGGACCGGTTCAGATAATCGTCCACAAACAACACACACACAAGACACACCAGACACACCACACACAACACACACAACACACCACACACCACACACACAACACACACCACACGCAACACACGCAACACACACCACACACACACTACACACACAACACACACAACACGCACCACACGCAACACACACACCACACACAACACACACAACACACACACCACACACGCAGGGGGCTTGCTACGGCAATAGAACCCGTCGTCGCCGTTATTATTATTTTTATTATTCATCTGGCAGAGCGCAGCGCTCCACAAGCGCACATCTTCCCACGAGCGAGATGCGTCTGGTGGACTCCCGCTTGATCAAATATAAACGAATCCCTTCGCACTCGTGCGTGCGTGTGTGTGTTTATAATACATCTCTCTCTCTCTCTGTGGCATCCGTGTTTCCTCCCAGTGTGTTACATTTCTCAAATTATCACCTGCGTATTTATTTCGCCCTTCCATCGGCGTCACCAATTAATTATCGACGTCGCGCGCTGCTCGTGATGAACGCGCGGCGAATCGCGAGCGCGCAGCCCGAGCCAGCGATGGATGCGCATTCTCAAGGGATCGTTTGGAGCGCTCTCCCCCGCCAACCCTTTTAACCTGGTAAAATTAAACGTGAATAAATCATCTGCTCTTCCGCCATCGAACATCAGAAGGCGCTCACCGGAGTCGGAGATGTCGTCCCAGTAGGGGGAGTCGAACTCGTACTCGGCTTTCAGGATCTGCTCGAAGAGTTTGGCGTCGTTCTCGTCGTAGAAGGGGGGGTATCCGCACAGCCTGCGGGCTCACACAGCCAGCACCCCCACCACCGTCAGGCGATCCCTCAACCGCCTGAGCCTGGGTTGAACACGGAACGCGGTCCCGCTCGGCCGCGTGGCTAAGCGGGCGGCTCACACTTTGTTGAGTTTAGAATCGATTTGAAGCTTTCGTGACTGCAATGATTCATACGCTTAGGTTCTTTCGGTAAAGTCAGGTAGGTAAAAAAATTATTACAATAATAACTGAAAATAACTAAATTAAATCACGACGTTTCGGAAGCAACACAGGCCTCCGTCATCAGATAATAAAAACATCAGATGACGGAGGCTTGTGTTGCTTCCGAAACGCCGTGATTTAATTGAGTTATTTTCAGTTATTATTATTTTATTATTATTATTTTTACCTACGTGACTTTACCGAAAGAACCTAAGAGTATGAGTTTAGAGTATGTGGCCGCTTGCTGTAAATGTTACTTTGTTGAACTATCGTTTGTGGGCAGGTCGCTTCTGAACAAAAAATATTGCTGAGTGGCCCTTACCTGGCGAAATTTAAAATAGTTGAGTTTTTATTTTGACACGGGAGATCCGTGGTGCGTGAGCACAGCAGCAGCAGCAGCGACACAGACGGACGACGTTGATACTGCAGTGAACAAGCGAATGAGGCCCCTTGAGCAATATCGCAACAACGAACGAACGAGGTGTCTGACGGTCGTAGACGAAGCGCACGCGAATCATAAAACAACAACAACAACGACATCAAAACACAGCTCAAATATTATACGAGAGCAAGATGGGCCAGCAAATAAAAGTAGGTACAGCTGCAAGTAAGTTACAATTTATTGTCAAAATATTGGAAAGTTGCGAGTTTCGAAACCTGGTTGGGGTTGATTCAGCCCATCATTCCAAATCGTTGTATTGTTATTATTAATATCATCCTTCTGGGGTTTATAAAATCAGTACTGTACCACTGCGGATACCAGTGGTTGTCCGATGGATAAACTTTCCCCAACCATAGGAATGTTGAATGTCCACGACTGGCTCAGGGCTGTCACAGAAAATGAGCGACACCTTCATTATCTCTAGATTTGAAGCTTGATACAGTAAATTTGGCTGTGACGGTCCCACCTGATGACGGAGACTTGTGTTGCCTCCGAAACGTCGTGATTTATTATTTTATTTCTATTATTATTTCTATTATTTTTATTATTTATTTTTATTTTTTACCTACGTGACTTTACCGAAAAAACCTAAGAGTACCTTAATTCTCACTTGAACAGGAAATCGCTTTATAGACTATTTTGTTTTCTATGGAATAACAGCTTTATGGAGATGGTGTTTTGTGCTAAGGTGAGACTGTGTGGACTCACAGACAAGACACAGACTCCCAGACAAGACACAGACTCACAGACACAGACTCACAGACACAATCCCACAGACAACACACAGCACCATCGCGGACGGATCATTCGGAGCGTGTTGACAGCGCCCTGACGAATTGCCGGATCACCATTCGGACTTTGGATTTCATATCGGCCGTATCATTGGCAAAAGCCAGCAGATGGGGAGATTTACTCTGAAATAAGAATCACATTGCAATGCGAAGGCGGGGGAGCGTCGCCAGGCAATTGCTGTTCCCAGCGCTAGATAAGCGGCTTTGTCGTGTACGTGGCAGCTCCCAAAGTCCAGCCGTGTAGGTTCGGCACCAGCTATCGCAGCGCACGTCAAGACACTTTCGCCTGTGATCACAGACTACAAGCAATGCGTGGTAGATACTTAGGACTTGCAAGATAAAAGGAGAAATCGCTTAACAAACGGATTAAGAAAAGCGAACTCCGCAGTATTTGATATCCCGCGGTGTGGAAAGGCGCATTTCACTGTCCGGATCAATTCTGACGAACGGCGTCTCATCTCCAGTGATTTTAGTGTGTTCGGTCCTTGCATCATTCCGTTTGCGGTTTCTTTATTCGCGATGTTGGTTAGGGTTCTTGGCGCTGTTGCGTCTGGGTTCTCAGCAGCTGCCACTGCTGCTTTCTCTGCTGATTCCGAACGAGATGTTTGGCCGCTCGGGGAGTTTCCCCTAGTTCAATAATGCAACTAAATAATTCTCAAAGTAGGTAAATAAGTAAACGCACTTACAAATAATACAAATCCTCCATCCTCACATGCAGCTGTCGACCACCGGCTGACATTGCTTACATCTGGCCGCGGAGGCGAGATGTTAACTACCTCGCCTGGTATACAGGAGGTCGTGGGTTCGATCCCAACCCTGACACCTGCTGTATATGTGGCGTTTGCGTGTCTTTCTCCCCGTGGTCGCGAAGATTTTTCTGTGGGTCCCTTCGGGTTTTCCCTCCACATTTAGAAACATGCCTTTAGAATATTTGGCTGCTGTAAAGTTCCAGATGATAAGCCACTTCGTTGAGCTATAACTTGTGGCCAAGCCGCTTCTAAAAATAGCTAAATAGCTCAGTAGGCCTTACCTGTTAAAAAAATAGTTTTTCTTAGTTTTACATTATGTAGGAATATAATAACAATTCGCCCGCTCTTCGGCACAATGTCCGACGTTCACTTCCACGTGCTGGGGGCTTCTTCAGGAACTGAACATTAAACAACAAAAACAAAAAACTCCTCCGTTTGGTTCCCGAAAGAGCTCTTGGGCACGTGGTATCGGAACGACGCCGAACGCCGTGCGGGACGCCACGTGGCACCGGCCCGAAAATACACCGGGAGCCGCACGGCGCCACGGCGAGTATCGCCTGCACGGTCATCACGTGCCACGAGGGAGAGCCAGGCATCAGCTGTGTCCATGGCACCTCGCGAATACTCTCGCGACCACGACCCAGTAGAAAAGAAGAAGAGAAACCAAACTCGGCCCAGTCGCCAATCACACTGTGGCTTTACAAGGGGGGGGAAATAAATACATTTTAGGTTGCGACGCTTCGGGCAATGGCCCTACTTCATACCACAGGGTCATCGCCCGAAACGTCACCTGCTATATACTTATATTGACTTTGATGGCCACGGTCTTATTGACGACTGCGTTGAGCTGATTGTGCTGGTGGGGAGAGGGGTTGCCCGGGGGGGAGGGGGGGGAGACACTCACAGCACGTAGGCGATGACACCAATGGACCAGCAGTCGACTTCTTTGCCGTATGGAAGCTGTGCCAGGATCTCGGGGGCTGACGTTCACGAGAGAAAAAAAAGACAAAGATCCCCCATATAGCCTTCAACCGACTGTCGCGGCAAGTGCTGTTAGTGTAGCGAGCACCTACGCAGGAAGGCACAGCACACGAGGAGACGATGTGTGCACGTTGCACCAGCTACTCATTTGGGGCTGAGTCGACCTAGGGCAGGCCCAGGATCGGATTCAGATAACCGTCACTGGTGTTGGTGTCCGTCAGTAGAAATGGAACTCGCGTAGCTGGTTTCGTGGTGTGCTGCCACTTCCCCACACAAGAACATTTATATACAAAGACAAAGACCCCCCATATAGACCTTACATACTTTGGGGACAAGTGCTGTTAGCGAGCACCTACGAAAGCCGGCACGGCACAAATACGAAGATCCCCCGTATAGTCTCAACAGACCTTCGGGGACAAGTGTTGTTAGCGAGCACCTACGAATGCCGGCAAAGACAACGACCCCCCCGCCCCCCCAGGTACATGCCACGTGTAGAGATAAAGCACCCCCCCGCCTCCCCAATCTCGTTCAGCATCCACAGATCGCGCACTCGACAGCGGCAGCGGCAGCGCTGGCACCGCGCGTGGTTTGGCTGCGCGGCGTACCCACGTAGCCCGGGGTGCCGCACGCCGTAGACATCACGTCCCCAGTCATCTGCACCTTGGAGAGCCCGAAGTCGCTGATCATGATCTTGGAGTCCTCGTCCGGGCTGTAGTAGAGCAGGTTCTCCGGCTGAGACACGGGGCACGACACGACAGGTCGTCGTCATCATCATCGCCGTCGTCGTTGTCATTATCGTCGTCGGAATGATCAATATCGTGTTGTCACTACAACCAAGACTGCTAATTTAATTAGCACAGCATTGCTATCATTATCAATAACATCATTATCAGCGGCATTATTCTTATCGTAGTCATCATGACTGCCAATATGATTATTGTTGCTATTATAATTTTCATCATTACTGTCATTATCATTATCACTGCCATCATCATCATCGGTGTCATTATTCTTATCGTAGTAATCGTGACTGCCAAAACGATTATTCCTCTCGTTCTCATCGTTCCTGTCAAGATCATTATCACTGCCATCATCATCATCATCATGAATACCACCGTTACTAAACTTCGCACAATCATTCCAATCATATTGCAATAGCAGCCATCATTATATCATCATCATCATCATCACGTTCATTATAAACGACTCCCTGGTGACCGAAGCAAACGCTGATGTCACGTGTGGGGCAGCATCTCTTATTCCGTTACAATCATCGTGCGGCAAGCTGCGAGGCCCCGGCTGTAGCTCGCGCATCTCTCAATCCCTGGATCTCTCTCTCTCCCTCTCTCTGTCGCGACAAGAGAGGCATTCACCGTAATGTTTGACTCGCAGACGACGCTAACGACAGCCGCGCTCAATTACTCAGTGAGCCTGCACCGCGATACCGTGGCCAACGCGGCCCTTATCGGGCGTCACGTCAACTGCACTGCCGCTTCACTGATTTAGCCGAAGATAAGCGCGCGCATAGACAAAGACCCCCCGTGTAGCCCGCACGGACTGTCGGGGCAAGTGCTGTTCGGCGAGCGCTCTTTAAGGCCGGCGCGGCGCACGAGGCGCTCGAGCGGGCCGCCTTCGTCTCTCCGGGGCTGACGTTTGCACGCCGCTCCAGGTACTCGTCTGAGGCTGAGCAGACCTAGAGGAGATCCAAGACGAGTTCAGATGTACAGTCGTCGCCACTGATTGTCGCCGTTGGTCGTGGCCGGAGAATCGCGAATCCAGGTTGGACCGGAGTCGTCGCGTTGGCCGCTCGCCACGCGGCCGTCTATGGGTCTCTGTGTGGTGAGTCTGTGGGTCTCTGTGTGGTGAGTCTGTGGGTCTCTGTGTCAGTCTATGGATCTCTGTGTGATGAGACTATGAGTATCTGTGTGATGAGTCTATGGGTCTATGTGTGATGAGTCTATGGGTCTATGTGTGGTGAGTCTATGGGGCTCCGTGTGATGAATCTGTGGGTCTCTGTGTGATGAGTCTATGGGTCTCTGTGTGGTGATTCTCTGGGTCTCTGAGTGAGTCTTTGTACGTACGTACGTCGAACCTCTTTCGCACCATACGCAGCGCAACCGTGCGGAGGCGCGAGGAGGGGGGAAGGACGCGAGCGAACGAACAAACGAAACCAATCCACGCGGACGACAGCGTCGTCTCCGCGTCGCGGCGAGCGGCGAACCTTGAGGTCGCGATGGACGATGCCCATGCGGTGCAGGTAGCCGACGGCGTCCAAGATCTGGCGGATGAGGCGGCTGGCGTCGCGCTCCGTGTAGAAGCCCTTCTCCACGATGCGGTCGAAGAGCTCCCCGCCAGACACCCTGCGCCCGGTGGCACAGCGCGCCAAGGGGGTCACGTCGCGTCTCCCTCGTGCTTTGCTTTTGCGTGTTTTTTTTGATAGATTTTTAAAATATATTTTTATATGTTGTATAAAAAATATTTGTAGAAATATTTGTAGAAATATTTTTATATATATATATAAAAATATGTTTTATTAATTTTTTTATAAATAGTTCTATACACATATTTAATACATATTACTAAAATAATTTTTTACTAGCCTTCTGCTCGTCCAAGGACGGGTGTATTGCAGTAAATCTGAAACTTGCAAACGAAAAGCAGTCCGCGATGTGATATTCATTGCATCAATTTGTGAGCAATTTGTAAGGACACGGTGACGCAGATTTTTTTCATTTAAAGGTTATAATCCCTTGTTCATCATGACGTCCTTTTTACTTCTATGTCTCAATAGACGTGAGGGTTCTGGCTTTGTAGTGAGGGTTGTAAGTTGACGCTGAGGAGGGGGGAGGAGGCGCCTCGCCCCCCCCCATGTGGAGTGACGTCACCCACTATTTATTATTCATGAGGGGGGGGGAGTCCATGTGGAGGACGTCACCTGTTCATGAGTATTAATGAGGGGGGCTGGCCGACGTGAAGTGACGTCACGCGCGGGACACACAGACATTCCTGGCTCATAGAAGTAAATAAGAAAATATTTATAAGAAATGTAAAAATATTCATTTTTTTACATATATAAAAATATATGTTTTTATACATATTACATAAATAGAAACATTTATATATATAAAATATTTTTTTCCGCATCCTCCCACCTATCGTACATTGCAACATTCTCACGTTCAATGGCAACGTAGTTCCAGGCGCATCAACGGTAGCGGGCACAACACGGGGCCCTTCAGAGCGGGTGGGGGGAGGGGAGGAGGGGGGGGGTCTCTTTGTCGGAGGCGGGGGGGGACAGTCATTGCCGTTCTGGGCTCAGCTATTTAAGATCGGGCTAAGGCTTAGGAATGTCTCTGAGCTTGCCACTCAGATGCTCCTGTGCCGAATGAACTCAGACATTGATATTCTTGGTTCTTTCGGTAAAGTCAGACGCTGTCTTTCTGATAGACCTGTTCTTCGCCTGAGGACGGCTGCTTGCATTGTGGCAGAAACGTCGTGAGAATTGTATTTTATGATGTTTTATTTTTATTATTTTATTATTTCCCTTCTACGTGACTTTACCGAAAGAACCAAGAAGATGAATCCCTGCAGTCACGAACGCTTGAAATCGAAAATCAGACATTGATAGTTACGGGAGGAGGTGTTCGTGACTTTTTCTCCACGTACTCAATGTGGTTTTCCTCGCCGCTATATTGAAAGTCCTTCACAAAAATAATTCTGTACTCTTTGGTTCTTTCGGTAAAGTCACGTAGGTAGAAATAAAATAAAATAAATGACGACGTTTCGAACGCAACACAAGCAGCGTTCGTCTTCAGGTGACAATCGCGATAGCTGCGATGTCTGCTACGAGCAGCACTATGTCTGCTCCCTTGACTATGGATTCCTGCTGTCACGAAAGCTTCAAGTCAAGATTAAAAGCATTCTATTATATATGTTATTGTTTTATTTCAAGTGGTTGGCCACCTCGTGTGGCCGCGGGCCGTTTGAAGCGAAGTGAAGCCACGGGTTGTGTCCAACCCATGCCTGACGTCTTGAAGGGGGGTGGGGGGGGGCTTGCACACAGCACGTGGCTTCACGAATTGCAACGCTTAGACTGCGAGTCCGAGTCCTCAACCAGGGGGCGGAGGGGAATCAATGATTGACATTGATGCGGACAGTGCCAGTGAATTATGATGAAGATGATGATGGGTGTTTGGTAAAACAAAACAAGAAGAATAAGTTTCGATTTAAAGCTTTCGTGACTGCAGGGATTCATCTTCTTGGTTCTTTCGGTAAAGTCACGTAGAAGGGAAATAATACAATTATAAAAATTAAACATCATAAAATAACTCTCACGACGTTTCGGCCACTCTCACGAGGTTTCGACTCTGCCTTCTCGACAGAGCTGTTCTCCACCTGAGGACGGCTGCTTGCGTTGTGGCCGAAACGTCGTGAGAATTATTTTATTATGTTTTATTATTATTATTTTATTACTTCCCTTCTACGTGACTTTACTGAAAGAACCAAGAAGAAGAAGAAGACCACAGAGACGGCAACACGCTATGGGGGGGGGGGGGGGGGGGGGGGGGGGAGTGGGGCTTCCATCTAGCAGTGGATTGAGAATGTCACTCGAGGCCACGGTGGCCGCGTTGTCGAGGTTACCCGTGGCCGTTGTCGAGGTTACCCGTGGTCGCGTTGTCGAGGTTACCCGTGGCTGTGCTGGTTGTGAGTGGACGCGTCGCCTCGTCAGCGAGGCGGATGAATTGGGGACTCGGCGTGAACCCGACGTGCCCCGCGGCCCATTCCCCGAATCCATTAGCGACACTAACGTCATTAGAACACAATTATTATTATAATTAACAATATACACCATTAGCCTTCCCATTAATTTTTTTTCGTTAAAACGACGTCCGCGTAACGAATTCATCTCGATATTTTCCCAAGGGCTGCGTCACATCTGTCGAAGAGACAATTCACCTCCCCTCCCCCAACAATTTATGTTTTGGGAGTTCGTACGCGTGTCACGATTTGCGTGTTATTTGTGTTGTTGTTGTTTGTGAGTGTAAGAGTCGCCCCTGCGTGCCTTCGTGTGTCGTCTATGGCTCCTTCCTAGCGGCTGCACGCCGCTCGATGCACGCACGCTGGAGTGCGGACAGATGTTCTACGTCGCTGCTTTGTTTACCTCCAAACCTCTCACCTCGCCGTTCACAGTTTTCCACTGCCCCATGCCTCTTCTCTCTCTCTCCTCTGTTGTTCATTTTCATTTCGATCGGCTCACTGCGCCGCGTGGCAGGCCCAGCGGCACTAACACCTCCCGCGCCTCCTCCCCCCCTACTCAAACACACCGACTCACCACGAGCAGAAACAAATTCGACTCTGCTGATGAGTCACCGGACGGTCGAAAACCGTCCACAGGTTCGCTTGCGTTAAACCAGAGCTCGGACCACCAAAATAACAAGAAGATAAAAAAGTATAATTTGGGGGAAAATTTTAAATAAATAAATAATCTTTTTTGGAAGAGGCACAGTGTATGAGAGTACGAGATGGTGACGACAACGTCACGAAGCCAGTCACTCAAAGAGTCGCACGCTCCTGACCCCTGTAAGTTAAACCCCGCGCTACTGGAGTTATGCACTCTCCCAGAAGGCCGTGTGACCGACGGATAATCGTCTGAACAACATACACATGCGGAGAGACAGATATGAGAAGAGGAGGGGCGATGGTATTGTCTGTTTCATTGTTGGGATGAATTAAACTAAATGACCGGTACGACATTGGAGCGTCGGGCAGAAGAAATCTTGCGCACTGCGCCGCTGTGAGCCCAGCTACAGCCGTTCGACCCCCAGCCCGCGGGTGGCGTCAGCTGCCGAGGGATATCTCTGAGCTGGTTCCGGACACCTCCCCACCTGCCTTCACCAACTAAAATCACCGCTGACCAGAGTGGCGAAGTATGGTCGATCAGGCGGCCTCAATGCGGCGGTGGGTTGACGAGGCGCCGCGCTTGTACAAAGGCGCCGCTGTCGGCTCGTGTGATGAGTGCTTTTGATTGTACTGTACTGCGTTCTGGAAAAGGGTCATCGCCCGAAACGTCAGCCCGCTACCGTTAACTTTCATCTGCTATTAAAGGCGGCGCTAAATTATTAATATTTTGAGCGCGTTGTGTGTGTTGTAAATTCGCACCTTCGCGTTATATTTGAAAGCCGACTTAATTTTGCATCGCGGGGTTGTTTTGACTAATTAAATCTTAATGAGTGTTTTAATGCGAGGAGAAAACCAGGACACACACAGCGGGTGAAAACTCAAGAGGTCCGCAGAGATGGGTTCACGAACCCATTTTCTGTCCCATTTCCTGGCCACCTCAAAGCCAAACAGCTGCTATTGCCACGCTCTCGTCACCATTCCATTCTCAACGCAGCCGGCTGCCTAAGCCCCGGTGAGATCTGGCCCATTGCAGGGTGAGCCGGTCATAATGATTGTTGATATTAATAATAAAACATTTTAAATAAATTAAGTCTCACGGAGTCTCAAGGGTTTTATTTTCAGGAGGGTCTTGCCAAGCTTTCGTATGATAAAGGTTTGTTTTGTTGGGGTTAGATCTCGTCAATATAAATGTGTCGTTAACCCACCACCACCCGACACAGCCAATTAGTAGGGTTTGTCACGTTAACAGAACGTGCCATTTAGGTACTAGTACAGCACATCGGTGTGCTGGAGAGTAAACCCACAATATTGACAATTTGAATTCGACGTTCCGCTGGTGATTGCAACAAGCAACTTCATCAGGCGATTTGCCAGAATTTCGCAGTCGGGGGTCAACCTTGGTCTGTGGTCACGACTTCTTCTCGTGTTCTGCCACCACAGTCACGTGTCCATCCAGTATCGGTCACACGACGATGACGATGATGACGACACGGCCATCAGTGGGCAGAGCACGGCACACGATGATTGTACGGCTCGGTCTAAAGCCCCGTTGAGGTCCTCCACGATGCACAAGCTCAATGTTGTGTCATCCCAATTGAGTCGTTTTACGCCAGTTTTTCAGCGTTGGCGATGTTTGTTTGGCCCAATAGGCTGAGGATACGTTTAGCGTGTGGGGCGTTGTGGGGGGGGGGGGGGGTGTAGCTGGAGCCAAGAAGCCGAAGCTCTCCGCCCGTGAGAGACCCTTAGCGGTGTTGAGACTTCCTTTCGCCCCTTCACGCACGAGCAAATCCATCGCGTTGCAGCTTTGCCACGGCCGAATGCGCCTGAGAATCTAAACTGCGAATGGTCACCCGCCTCACGCCAGCCGGGAGAGAGAGAGAGGGAGGGAGGGAGGCGAACCGCGTGAGCCGGGTGCGCTGTCGGTGCCGCACACTCGGCTGGGCAGCCCCAGCGCCACTGC